ATGATCAAATGTTTGCTTTTCTCTGAAATATTTACCCCATCTTTCACTTCTATTCACTACCAAACTTCTCAAAAGAGCCCAAGGGGAAGCAGTCATGTTATCAAGCAGTCATGCAGTTACCCAGAATTAGGTCATAAAAGTGCAAACATTGGCCTCCTGAACAAGGCAGAAGAAGGCCAGTGACTAGAGCTGAAACATAAAGCCAGACCAGGCCTGCCCAACAAGAGTGGCCAGATGCCTGTCCCTGAGGGTGAACATGGAGCTCCTAGGGGTCAGAGGTGGTCCCCAGGCCTGGGCAGGGAGAAGTCTATGAGTGGAAGAACATGTGGCCCCAGCTGTGTAGAAGGGAAAAACCAGAGGGCAGGGGCCAGTCAGGGCTGGCAGGAAAGGAACTTGGCAGTCACTTGGTACCCCCTCTACCTGAACCCACCCCCACCCCCCACCATTGCAAGGCCTTGTGCTCTCCAGGAGACTCCTGATGGAGGTCCCCAGCCTGCTCATGGATATCTCCAGGCAGTGGGAGCATGCCACCCCTCTAGGCAGCCCGTTTTGTTTTCAGGCAGATTTTCCTTTAACTGAGACAAATTCTGTTCCACCCTCTGAGGCCACACAGACAAATTCTAGACTCCTTTTTGATATAATAGCCCTGCAAAGGTACAAAAACATTGATCATGAAACATCTTTTTTCTTCACAAACATCAAGTTCCTTCACTAGCTCCATGTGCGAAATGGCACCGAGACCCCTAAGCCATGGTGCACATTCCCCTCTGGATGTGCCCACTTTGCCAGTGTCCACCTTCAGTTACTGTGCTATGAGCATCACACTTCACACGTGAGTTTTTCAAAGGAAGACAGAGTACAACTAGCATCAACCTCACTCGATAGTAGACTATCGAGGTCTTAGTTTTTTTTTGCTCCCATGTGGACTCATGCCAAGGTGGCCTTTTCCACAAGTTGTGGCCCAAGGAATTGAAGTCAGAGGTCCATGAGAACTTCCTGATGAAGCATCATCAGCTTCCACTCCAGCCCTCACGGCTCCCCAGACCTGTGGCCCGTCTTATGCAGGTCATTGATAGTACGGTAAGTCAATCAAACACATATCCACCTCTTCCAGTTTCCACTTTCTATTTATTCAGCCTCCTCTTGATTCCAGTCATCTAAAGTAAGGCCTTAGCCCTGAGCTCAGCAAAGAAGCCCCAGATCTCTGTTGGTCCTGCCCTCCCATGAGAACTTACTGCTTTCTGCTGCAAGCTGCCCTTCCTGCCGGCCCGTCTGTACTGCTCTTGACTGCTTGTCTGACCTCCCTCCAACAGCTCCCACAGCTCCCGGCTCTGAACAGCTGAGCCCCTGTCCTAGAGGGTGGAGACTCCTGGTTCTGCTGCTCTGGGATGAGCTGGCCACTCTGGCATGCTCATCTCCAGGGATTGGAGATGTGGCCACAGCTGTGCTTGGGTAAGTGGACACCAATTAAAGGATTACTGCCAGTAAGAAGTCACTCCTGATTTTGGCTTGATTGGAAGGGGAATTTGGGACTCAAGTGTAGCCAGATGCCCTCCCTAGCCCACCTGCTATGATTCCATACCAGACTGGAGGGTCTAGAATTTATGCCACAAATCTAGGTACATTCTAGAATCGCTAGATGAGAGGGCAGCTCTTTGATCAAGGGGGCAGCTAGTTGGTCAGGCCTACAACACAAACTCCACATCTTTAATTGAGCCTGAGAAAGGCCCAACCAAGCCCTGGCCTCTGCTGGTGTTCATCCAGGGTAAACCGGTCCTTTTCCTCCCCTTCTTTTTCAAAGGAACTCTGTATCTCAGAGCTCCTTTTCCTCAACAGACATCTCAGACTCTTCTTCTCATTTTTAAAAAAAATGTTAGTACCTCCTATCAAGTCCCTGGATGGTACAAACAGTTAAGTACTCAGCTACTAACTGAAAGGTTGGTGGTTGCATCTACCCAGAGGTGCCTCAGAAAGAAGTCCTGGAAGTCTACTTCCAAAAAATCAGCCATTGAAACCCCTATGAAGCACAGTCCCACTCTGACACACATGTGGCTGAAATGAGTCAGAATTGACTTGGCAGCAACTGGTTTTACAACAGCTGCTGAAATTACTGCTCACCCAAGGCATGACAGATTAAGCCACTGCCTCCATTTTTTTTTAGCTCCCCTGCACCCACCCAGCACATTTCCTCCTAATCAGACATTCCTAGTTTCGAACACACACACACACACTGCCCTCCCTGCAACTCAAGTGCATTGTTTCCAGGATCTAAACTCTTCTGCTTGCTCCTCCACAACTTTGTATCCCTTTCCCCACTACCACTTCCCCATCCCATCTCCTCCATATTTTTATTAATCACATTTTTAATCATATCCAAAGCCCTCCTAAGAAGAGCCAGTCAAGGGTAGAAATGGGAAGACTCCTTCACAGGCAAAGAGCTTCTCAGAAAGCAGCACCTACCCTCCTCTGACCCAGATGCCAAAAATATTCAGCCTTGTCTATGCACAATGGATCTTAGGGCAAAATTCCAAGTGAAGACGTTTACGGACTAGAAAACCTCAGAGGAAAATGGGAATTGTGTACAGTGTGCCCTGGACTATAATTGAAAAGGGAGGCCTAGAAACAGCGGAGCTTAATGAATGAGGGGTTGAAGAGCGGCTTCATCACTCTCTTCAAACATCAGGGCATAATCAACCATCCCCATCTTCACAGAGAGTAGAGGCAAAGGCTATGGGATTAAGTTTTAGAAGTAAGGTCTGATTCTAGATAATCACTGTATAATATTGTGCCCGCCCATGAAAGGAGATGGTGCTACTTGATCCAGTCACCTGAGCACTCAAGGTGATGGGGGCTTTTTCCAGTTAGAATTAATTGACTTAAATGGTTTTATCATATCCTCTTGCCCCATTTCCTACATGATTGGTTATATATTTGATTTTTAGTATTCATGCAATAAAAACTCAATTTAAATTTACAAACAGAAAAGAAATTACAAAAAGAGCATTTTAAAAGGACAATGCATGAAACAATGAACTAGCCCCAAAATTCATCTGGACCCAGGACCCTAATGAAAAAATGCCTGGATGATTAAAGGATGTGAAGATATTTGGGAATTAGCAAGTCAACAGACAGTTCAAACCTTGGAAGCCTTGAAAAAGCCAAAAGAAATAGGTACTCATAAAAGAGCTAGAACTCTATCTGAGAAAGCATAAATCTGATGCAAATTGAAATACAATAAATGTAATATTGCTTAGGCAAATACATAGAGACCAAAGTTTGTTAGTGGTTACCAGGGCCTGGTGGGAGGGGGTGATGGAGAAGTATTGCTCAAGGGGCACTGAGTTTCTGTTAACGGTGATGAAAAGATCTGGAAATGGATAGTGATGGTAGTTGCACAATATGGGGAATGTAACCATCACTGAATTGTACACATAAAAATGGTTGAAATGGCAAATTTATATACATACGTGTGTATATATATATACTCCACCACAATAAAATTTAAAAGAATTTTTTAAAGTGATACTGCTGTTGGGGAGGGCAACTGAAGGAATGGGAGGGATCTTTTTCATTATATATCCCTTTGTACCTTTAAAATTTTGGTATATATCTAGGCGAAAATAAACAACAAAAGAAGAAACACAATAAGAGTTCTTGCCTCGGGAATGTCTCCTCTATTTTGACACAGATATATACAGAAATGAGAAGATAAAATTAGCCAGACTCAAGACCTCCAAAGATATAAACCCACTCCCCTCATTTAAAAGATGAGAGAACTGAGGTCAGAAGGGACCAAGTGACTGACTTAGTCATAGAGTCAGGACTGGAACCCAGGGCTTCTGATTTCTAGTCACTAGTGTTCTCTCCATCTCATACTACCAGTGTGTTTAGGCAAGAAAAATAGGGATGAACTCCTGGGAATACATCCTGAGGAAATAATTTTGTAGGAGCAAAAAGCTGTATGCCCAAACAGCAACTTGAAAGATTAGACAGCTGTCATACTGTGGGACTGCAACCAATGTCACATAACAGTATGTGTATAAATTTTTGAATGAGAAATCAATGCGAGCTGTAAATTTTCACCTAAAGCACACACACAAAAATAAGATTAGACAGGAAACTTAGAGGGTAGTGAGTTTGTTAATGGAGGAGGAACAATTTGGAAAAGGAAGGTGAGAATGGTTGCACAACCTGAAGAATGTCATCAATGTCACTGAATTGTACATGTAGAAACTTGAATCGGTGTATGTTCCGCTGTGTATATTCTCAACAACAAAATAAAATTTTTTTTTAAAAAGCTATATTCTCAGCACTCTTGGTTGTACTTATGAAGTGGGGAATTTAAATGTTAAGCAGGAAATGGTTAAATAAACTAGGTAGAACTGGCATGATGAAAACGATCACAATTATTGAAAATAATAATGTAAGGGCCATGTAGAAACATGGGAAAATCCAGGACATAATGTTAAGTGGAAAAAAGCTTGGTACTAAATTGCATCGGATAGTATAGTGTTAGTCACACTTGAGTGTGAATCCCAGCTCTGCCCCTAAGTAGCTGCGTCACCTTAGGGAAATTACTCAGCCCCTCTGAACCTCAAGTTCACTGTCTCCAAGAGGAGAATAATGGTAGTACTTATCTCATGGAATTGTTGTGAATCGAAATAACAGAATGAATATAAAGTGAGAAGAATAATGTCTGGCATATAGAAATGTTCAGTGTTAACCACTGTTATTATAATTACAGCATGAATTCAGATATGAATGTGCTGAACAAGGGTTGGAAAATGATATGCAAAAACAAAACCAACTGCAATGGGAGGTGGATGGGATTGTAAGTATGTGTGTTTTTAATTTTCTTTAGTAATGTTACATCATTTTCCAATGAGAAAAAAGGCATTTTAAATAGGGACCAAAAAAATCAAAATTCCATACTTAGGACTTGAGCCTTAATCCCTGCTCTTTCCTCCAGAGGGGCCAAAGATTCACTGTGCCCAGTTCCCGAGGCTGCTGTGGCATCTGTTGGTGGAGAAGGTGAACAGCAGCCCAAACCCTTGGAAAAGACAGGGGGAACATGTTCTAGAATCTAGATGGTCCTGTCTTGATCAGATCAGACTTTTATCTTGGACCCAGAGAGAACTTTGTAGCTACCAATAGAATCCGATTCATTCATTCAGGCATGCATTCACTCACTCATTCAGATACTTTCTGAACCCCTATTGTGTGAGAACCGTGCTAGAAGCATTTGAAGAATTAGGCTGACCCAGTGTACGAATTTGGAACAATTTCCAAAGTGAAAAAAGCAAGCTTCAGAACACTGTGTATAGAATGCTACCATTTGTATTAAAAGTAGATATATAAATATACATATTTATAAACGTGTAAATGCATAGAATTGCTCTGAGAGGATACACAAGATAGAGATGACAGTATTAACTCAGGAGGAGGGAGCTGGGGGACCAGAGGCTGACCTCCATCAGGAGGCTTACTTTTCATTGTTTTTTGTACTGTTTCAATATTTTACCATGTACATGTATTAATTTTTCAAAAAACAAAAAATTAAAAGGAACTGGCTGGTGCTGAACAGGGCAGAGTTTCCTCAGTCTTGGGAGAGGCAAAGTGTTGAACTTATTAACTGGGCTGCAACTGCTAAGTCTTTAAAAACCAGACTGTTACATAAATTAAGGGAAAGGTTCTTTCTATATCAATTACCTCACAGTAATTCAGGGTATCATTTTACAGAGATAACGTAGTTGGGAAATAAATACTAGTCATTTGTCAAGCCTTAAATTGTAGTTTCTCCCAGGGTGGGGATCTCATCTGTTTAACTTGATCGGTAGAGCATTCACTGCATCGGAAGGTGCAGATAAGTGCTTGCTACAGACAGCATTTTCTAATAACAAATAATAGCACAAGCGTTAGAACATATATGTAGAAAGAAAAGATCATAAGGTATTGGATCCTGAGGGAACCATGTATTCCCTTTGAGGGTTGGACAACCTTTCCTGGGATGGTCATCAAAAAATAATGGCCTTCAAACGGCAAGGTAAACCCCAAAGAGAATGAAGGATGAAGAGATACCATATGTGCTTCAGAATATCACAAGCAAACGTGGTATGCATGCCCTCCTTGGGGTGACTAGGCACAGACCCACTCCAAAGAGAACCTGGCACTCAGTAGGGCATCCCAACCACATGGGAAGTAAGAAAACCAACGTCTGGATGGCTGCAGATTGCTGACGAGCTGGCAGCCAGCCAGAGCAGGCTCCTTGTTAAGGCAGGCCAGGCAGGCTGTGGCCAAGATCACAGGCTCTGGGAACAGACAGGCTTGATTTCAAGTCTCAGCACCGTTTATTTGCAGGCAGCCCAGCAAGTTATTTAACCCTCTGAGTGATAACTGAGATCACTGTGAGAATTAAATGAATCACTGAAAAGTATTTAGCAAAGTGTGGGGTACATATGAAATGCTCCAAAGTGTTACTGTCCCCACTGTTCATAAATAATAGGAAGGTGTCACAGACCGAATCGTAACATATAATCAGCATCCGAGTCTGATGCAGACAAGGGACACTCCACCATCCAAGCCCTAAGGTCAAGAATCACTCACATGTACATAGTGTTGTAAAAACTAGAAAATGCTTCCACATTCACTATCTCACAAAAGCCCACGAAGTGAGTTGGAGGGAATCACTAGCTCTATTTAGAAGGGGGTCACTGAGGTCAGGAGGTTTGTCAAGGGCTGGTTAAGAGAAGACCCCAGGCCATGACCCAGGTTTCCAGGTGAGTGGCTTGGCATTCTTTCTCCCCCGTGCTCTTCCCAGCAAGGACTACTGTATCTGGGTGGTCAAACCTGAGAGTTTGCCATCTCCCTATGCTTCAGCTGCCAGTGTCCGAGCAGTGAGGGATTCAGCCATCCATTTCCAAGGCTGTATTAGGCTCCTCTAAACCTGCTCTTACGAATGGACCCAGGGTACAGGGTGGGCTCCTCACAACTGCATTCAGAAGGGACCAAAGCTAAGTCAGGTCAGGGTATATGCTTGCCCAGCTTCCTTCCTGGGGCTAGTTCTGGCTTGGCAGGCAGCCGAAATAAAGCCCAGTCTGACCTCACTACAAGCTCCGGAAGGAGGGACATGGTGGCCTTGTCAGGTACAGCAATCACTGAAATGGCACACAGCCATAGCCTCTCTGAAACTGAGGCAAGCACTAACCTTTCCCACTGCCATTAGCATTTCACTGAAAATCTGGCATTTGAAAGAGGAAGAAAATGTAATTTTTTCAATTGTGGAAAGGTCAGGCATATTTATCTGACTTAATAACTTATAATTGATATTCAATGCCTCCCTTGAAAGATCACCTCTAAGGGCCCAGCCACCACCCACTCCCCTCTGCTGCACTAGACCCTATCCAGCCCAGCCCCATGGCCCATCCATGCCAGGGCGTGGCAGCCTGGGTCATAGGACACCTCCACGCAAGCCTCTTCCATGTGCTCATGCAGGCCCCAACAAGGACAATGACCCACACTCCTCTATCAGCAAAAAGACATCCTGGCCTGCCAAGCCGAGACCCAATTCTGCCACACCTGAGTTCCCTGTGGCAGTAGGCAGTCAGTCCCAAGGCCTCTTTAACGTAGCAACATTACAGAATCCCTCCCCTTCACCCCTTTCTTCCTCCTCACCAGCGAAGGGTTCTCTTCGGTTGAAAATCCATTTGTAAGAAAGATGAAGGAGCTCAGATGGGCCCTAGAGCTGATGCCACAGCCCAGGGGAGACCTTACAGGTGACTCCTGACAGCACTGAGACCCTCCCCTCCTCTCTTCAGGTTTCCAGAGAACCAGAAGTACAGGGCTCCTGCTTTCCTACCTGTAAGCTCCAGAGTCTAGAGAGGACCTTCCTTGGACGGTAGGACGGTAGGAAGCATTGCTCTCCCTCAGAGATGGGACAAAGGAGGAAGTCTGGGAGAGACCCTTAGGTGGAGCAGGGTGGGGCCAGGCTCACCCGAAGAGGAATACAAGAGCCTACCTGCATGGTAAGAAGATTTTTTTATTTGAAATATAGTCTGAGCAACACGAGTGTAGCTGAGAGGAGGAGGGGCTTGCCTGCCTGGGGCAGCAGCCTCTCTAATGGCACAAGAGCAAGAGTACAAATATTCCAATGTCTGTGTGCCCCGAACCCCACTTGTCAAGGAAGGCAGAACAGCAGCAGAACAAGAACCCCCAGCTCCTTCTGAAGGGGGGGGTCTGGCTTGCGGTGCCCGCCTGCCTTTGCTGCACCTCCTGCTCCACCCGGGTTCCAAACAGAGGTGCGCTGCCAAGTTTCACCCACCCACAGAGACATGTTGAGCCAGTGTGACAATTCATTCTCCAGGACAATTGTGGGGGAAAAGAATCAGAGAAGATGGGAAGGAGGGACAAAGTGACCAAGGGCCCTTGCAGGCCAGGGGCTCTCCAAGAGGGACTTGTGTCAGCACCCCTCACTCCCCTTCTCGGGCTCGGACGGCAGGAAGGAGAGCTGGTGTTTGCAGGCACAGAGAGCTCCGAGGAGCCCCCTGGATGAGGGCAGCAAGCAGGGAACCGCCCAGAAGAGCACAGCAGCTGAGGGTTTTCGAGCCAAGTTGACAGCATTGGTGCTGGGCCACGTGAGCAGCCTGGGGTTGGGAGGACACAGACAAAGAGCTGGGGTACCAAGAAGCAGCACAAAGCCATAAATAACAGAAGCAAATTCAGAACTGTTAGGGCCCTGGGCGAGCCCCATTTCCCAGAGCTGGAGGACACTCAGCACCCTGCAGCACAGGGCAGACACTGCTCCAGGGCACAGCTGGCCACACTCATACCAGGGCAGAGCCTTTTATTTCCCACTGTCAGATGGCAGGCAGAGGACACCAGGGCACCACCCCGACCTCACGTACTGCAAAGCCTCTGGTCACACCTAAGGGGATGGTACGTGGCTGTCCTGGTCCTGAGAGGCCCGCGGTTGACTCTGAGCATCTTGGGCACCATCCTCCTCAGAGGCCGGGCCCAGTGATCTCCTTGCCTCTGGGTTGGCCAACAAAGGCCCGCCAGCACGTTCTTCCAGTCCATTCTCCCTGGTCTCCACAGGCACCTCTTCCCCGGAGCCCCCCTCGGGCTCTGCCGGCTCCGCCGCCTCCTCTTCGTCTTCCTCCTCCTGATCTCTCATCTTGTGGACAATGAAGAGGTGGCGGCTGAGGGAGCTGGCAGAGGTGTAGCACAAGCCACAGAGGAGACACTGGGCTGTGGAGCTGTCCACCTGGTGCTGAGGTATGTGGCTCTTGAACTCAAGCCCTGAGTCTGTTGCAAAGCTACATTTTGCACACTGAAAAAGGGACTTGTGTCTTTTGGAGGAAGAGACAGTCACGTCATTGGTGGTGCCTGGAGCGTCCCATGCTCCGCTGATGGGTCTTTTCAGATGGTTCACCTGGAAGGGGACACAGTGTGAGTAGAGTCCAGGCTGCGCCTTGGCCCTAGACAGAGCTCCCCAGACATGACCAGTGCAGCCTCGAGGACTCACAGGGGTCACCACCCAAGCTAGAGTCACCCCAGTCTTGAACGCTGATTTAGGTTTGGTTCATTTTTAAATGTAACATATACATGCGGCACACCATTCCAAAGATATGGAAAAGGTACAGAGAAAATTAAGTCCCTCCTACCCCTCACCAGGCCTGCTCTCCAGAGAAAGCCATCCTCCAAGAGATATTCTATACACATACAAAATTAGAACTATTGTCTTTTACAAAATGATAGCATTCCATGCACACTTTTTCTCATCTTGCTTTTTCCACTTAACATATATTGGAGCTTGTCTCCATGAGGGCACATAGAGGCATCATTCTTCCTAACAGCTGCACACTACCCCATTGTGGGGATGAACCAGGGTTGATATAAGCAGTCCCCATGGATGGACAATGAGTTGAGTTCCATCTTTGTCACTGCATACAGTGCTGCAGTGAATATCCTTGAACACACGTCTTTATGTCCAAGGCCAAAGATATCTGACAGATAAATTCCTAGAAGTGGAATTGCAGGATCAAAGGGTATGTGCATCTGGGGGCAAGTGAGGGTGTGCACTTTAGTCATTGACAGATGTTGGCCAAAATGTCAATTGACAACTCACCCACTATGTGCAAAAGGGGCTGTTTTCCCCATGCCTTTGCCAACCACCTCCCCTCTCTGAATAGCTAAGAAAGTTCTGAGAATGCCCTGGAACTCCAGGCAGATCCCAGAGCTTTCCAGACACGGCTGCCCCCTCAGGGAGCAGCCCCTACTAAAGAGTGGGAAAAGCCTGCAGTGAGGAAGGGAAAACAGGTTGCTCTAGAAGTTCATCAGAAATAGGGACAGGACAGGGCATGGAACAGGGATGAGGCCACAGGGCAGGGGACCGGGATAGCAGAATTCTAGGCCTGGCTTTTCCCGTGGTAGTGGAGAAGGGGCAGGGGACTCCGCCAAGCATCATTATCCTCATCCAACAAATACACCCTTCCTGTCTCTGCCTCATGAGCTGCTGTGAGGCAGAAACAGGATGGTGTGTGTGAAAGCACCCCAATGTCCACAGAGCACAGCACACACCCCAGGAGGGGTAACAGCGACAGGGAACAACAGTAACAAAAGGCCAGTGGACTGCCACACAGGTCTTTGTCCCTGTCCTCTACTGGTCTGCTGTCCCAGGTGGGTCACACAGGACTAGAGAGTTGCTCTATGGCCACAATGACAGATGGGCCCCCTACTGCCTTCCTAATGCTCCTGCAGCTCCAGGCCTCCCTGAGCAGGCAACTGCAGTGGGCAGGAGCCCCACACTCACCTGAGGGGAAGGTCCACCTGGAGGTCTGACTTTGGACGTCTGGCTCAAATCAGGGTTTCTGATACCATGCATAAGGCTGATGTGGCTCTCCAGAAGAGAAGGTCGAGGAAAGCTGGGGCTGTCCTCCGTACAATACCTGCAAAGGCAAAACCAGAGGAGATCATGTAGGATAACAGGCTGCAGGGCCCAGGGGAGTTAGGCAAGCAGAGAGAAGTGAAGCTGCTTCTGACTCCAGGCTCCTTCAGACTCTCCACACAGAAGACCAGGAGAGAGAGTGAGTACCTGGAGCAAGCAGACAGCCACAGTCTTTAGGCTGGCTGGGTAGTTCTGGGGGCTCACTGGAGAAATCAAGCCAGCAAGCCAGCCAAGATAGCAGACAGAATATTTGTACCCTTGACACCTGGCCCCAAGCTATGATCTTACTTTCTACTCCCTGGTATCACTGCCCAGGGGCCCAAGTGCATGGGAGAGTGGTCAGCACGAAAGAGGCCAGGGCATGTCCCGAACACGGCCAGACGGGGTACCTGGTCACATCACCATCGCTCCTCTTAGACCTCACAGCACCTTCACTACTGACTGGTGCAGCCCAGATTTAGAGAGAGGAGAGGCAGAGGGCTCAGGGGCCACCAGGTTCTGGAAGCTGGGTTCCCCCCATTTCTGACCTAGCCATAGCATTTTCCCCAGGTAGAAACTTGCCTGTCTCTTGACTTAGACCCCTGATCTTACATCAGAGAAAAGTCCCAAAGGTGCCATGGACAGAATCTTTGTGAACTTCCAGGCTCCTCACCACCACTTCTCCAGCAACTCACCCACAAGTGTAGACCTTCTTGACTGTGTCGTGGTTGTTGCGGATGTGTTTGCGCAGGCTATTGGGGGTATGGAAGGACTGTTCACACTGGCGACATGGGTACCGCTTCAACGTCTAAGGGAGGGGTGGCAGGAAACAAAGCAACACACCATAAGATAGTTCTGAGTGCACCTTCCTTCTCAGGTGATGTGGGCGGAAGGCAGATGTCCCAAAGACCTTAAGATCTGTGGTACCCACCCTGCCCAAAGCACCAGGAACCCAAAGGGTCAGCCACATAAGGGGGCCCTGGCCACCGGACAGAAGTCCAGAAGACCTGGCCTCGTGACCAGGTGGCCGCACTTACCCGACCGTGGCTCTTTTTCACATGGGACACATAGCTCTCCCGATCAGGAACCCACTCCTGGCACTCCTGGCAGGTCCAGCCAGCGTTCCTCAACCGGGGCCTGGCTTCCGCCCTGCGGTGGGCTTCAGGCCTGCCCCAGCGACTGGAGGGCAAGGAGCTGCCACGAGTAGCCACAGTAGTCGCTGGAGACTCAGTGGAAACTCGAGAGCCAGGGCGGCTGGAGGACGTGTCCACTGAAGACTGGAGGCTTGACAGCTCATCCACGTTTCGGGGAACACCATGGGTGCTCTGGGGATGGGGAGAGCGATTACTGACTGGGCAAGGGGAAAGATGCACAAAGTCAGACCCCCCAGCCTATTGCACATGCCCTCCTCCCCGGCCTCCTCCCCCAGCGCACCCCACCTTGACATGTTGCATCAGCTCCGGCTTCTGCGGGAACAAGAGTGGGCACTCAGGGCACTTGAAGACGCCCACCTGCGCCTTGCTGGCATTCTGGTAAAAATGCTGCTGAATGTGCCTCTTCTTGTTGAAGACCATTTCACAGGAACACTTATAGATGAGCCTGATGAGACAAGCCCCAGGGCATGAGGCAGTCAAGGCTCTGCTGGCAGAACCACACCCCCCCACTTCACCCTTGCTCTGTCTGAACAAGGGTGGACACTCCCCAGGCTCAGGATGTCCTCAGGGGACTCCAGGCATCAATTCCCCCAGCCCCAGCTCCCCAGCCTACCCCTGGCACCACCCCCTCTAACACCCTGGCCACTCCTCTCCGCCCCAAAGGGCCAACTGGCCCTGGAGCTGCACTCACTGGGAGGGTCTGTGGGGTTGGGTGGGATGCTGTGAGGCGCAGTGGTCTGCAGTGCTGCTGGCAGTCTTGAAGGCCATGGGGCAGAATGCACATTTGCGGAAAACCTGACAGTGCCGCTCCTGGATGTGACTTTTCAGCAAGGCCAAAGTCAGGTGGACAACACCGCAGTGGATGCACCTGGATGGCAGAGGCGGAGGGTGGGGATGTCAGACCCAGAGGTGGTGCTGGAAGGGAGGGAGAGCAGGAACAGCCAACTCAGGGGCTCATACCCACCTCCCTAGAGCACGTAGTCTTCCATCCTCCACGTGTATATCCCAAAAGCCTGTTTGCTGTAGTCTGGCACAATGCAGTCACCCAACGCCACACAAACCCAAGGCCACTCCTGGTAGAAAACCCTAACCTCTCCCCTCACTGGCCAGACGAAATTCTGCAAACTTAAGCCCAGCTAAGAGAAGTTGGCAGGAGTGGAGAGGGAGGATGAAAACCAAACCCATTGCCGTTGAGTTGATTCTGACTCATAGCGACCCTAGAGGACAGAGTAGAACTGCCCCACAGAGTTTCCAAGGAGCAGCTGGTGGATTCGAACTACTGACCTTATGGTTAGCAGCCGTAGCTTAGCGTAGATCTTAACCACTGCGCCACCAGGGCTCCAATGACAGAAATAGTATAAATTCAAGTCTGATACAACTGCAGGAGACCAGGAGGAATTTTAGAGGGAGCCTACAGAAAGCCTGGCCCTTCCCATAGGTTGGTATTGAATAAGCAGAGATGGCCACTTAACACAAGTACAGTCATTAAAAATATTTGTGGAGAATGTGTAACGATATGAGAAAATGCTTATGATACACTGTTACGTGGAAAAAACAGGGCAGGAAAGGCTATGTCCACCATTACAACAACCACATTAAAACTATCAACCCTCAAAACACAGGGAAGAAGACCAGGAAAACGTACTCTGGAGCAGCACTGTCCAACAGAACTTTCTGTGATGATGGAAATGCTCTATAGCTGTACTGTCCGTGGAGCTATTTAAATTTAAATTAATAAAATAAAAAAAATTCAGTTCCTCAGGTACACCAGCCACATTTCAAGTATGCACAGTCGCATGTACCTGGTACTGTATTGAATCAGCTTTTAAAGCATTGTGATGTTGACTTGGTGGGACTATGGACAACTTTTTATTTCTTTTTCTCAGTATCAATCTGTGGAGCCCTGGTGACACAGTGGTCAAGAGCTCGGCTGCTAACCAAAAGGTCGGCAGTTCGAATCCACCAGCCACTCCTTGGAAATCCTATGGGGCAGCTCTACTCTGTCCTCTAGGGTCACTATGAGTCAGAATCGACTTGACAGCAACAGGTTTTCTTAGTTTTGTACCAATTTGTATTTTCTAAGTTTTGTTTGGTAGAGATATTTTTATTAGGTATGAAAAAATGAAACAAAGAACGGCCTTAAACCATTTTTCTGAAATTGAGGCCATGTTGGACCCTGCTCTTGGGTTCTTCTTTCAACTCCAAAAATTTATTTCTCTATAAATATTGCCTTTCCTTTCTTCAATTATCAGAGAAAGATGTGACCTTTCTCCATGCAAACCTGCATCCACTAAAGTTCCTAATCCCTTTCATCTGTTTAGTTTTTCCTCCCACTTATAAACATACCTAGGTCTCCCCTCTATGGGGAAAAAAAAAAAATCACCTTCAGTGCTCTCTGCTATTCCCCTCTAGATAACAAATAACAGAAGATAGATAAAAAGTTATCAATATCTCTTGCAATAATGCCTGCCCCTGTAGCCCTGACATTCAAATAGGCACTAGAAAAGAGATTATTGTTTTAAAGAAAGAACACGACTTCACTTAAGAATTCTCTGACTCCTGATTCTACAAAGAATCCTGAACAAAATGGGGAAAATGCAGAACAGCATTCCAAATCACCAGGGGCTCCACACTTTCTGGTGCCATAGAGGCTGGATGAACCCCCAAAACTACTGCTGTGAGATAATCTTTAAACTTTAAACCAAAAATATTCCCTAAAGTCTTCTTTAAACCAAGCAATAAATTAGGTTATTTAGTAAAGAGTGTTTGCCTTGAACATCGTGCTCTTTTGAAGAACTATCTATATGGGATCAAACTGACAACAGCAACTCCAAAGATCAGACAGGAAGCTTACGGGGCACAGAGTTCATGTTAATGCGGGAAGAACAATTCAGAAAAGGAGAGTGAGAATAGTTGCACAACTTGAAAAATGTAACCAATATCACTGAATCGTACACACAAAATTGTTGAATTGGTGTACGTTGTGCTGTGTATACTTTCAATAACAATTAAAAAAAAAAAACTTTGACTCCTGAATGTTAACTTTCATTTCACTACATTAGCCCATTTTCACAATCCACATCACCACAAATCACCACAAAATACTGACCAATACTTTTTGGTTTTCTTTTCTTGCTTTCTTTGTGGGGTGGGGTGGGGTGGGAATGGGGAACAGAATCACCTTTGCAAACTTAATGAGCAATGAGGTACAGCTCACTAAACCAGAAAGCTGTTTGCAATGAGCTCTGAGGAGCATTCAGCACTAAATTTGTGTGTACTTTAACTTAGGGTTTCTAGGTTTTCAATCACCTTGTATGCATGCGAAAACTGGACAATGAATAAGGAAGACCGAAGAATTGATGCCTTTGAATTATGGTGTTGGCAAAGAATATTAAATATACCAGAGCCCTGGTGATGTAGTGGTTAACAGCTCAGCTGCTAACCAAAAGGCTAGCAGTTCAAATACACCAGCCGCTCCTTGGAAACCCTATGGGGCAATTCTACTCTGTCCTATAGGGTCACTGTGAGTCAGAACCGACTCAATGGCACCTGACAACAACAAGATGGACTACCAGAAGAATGAACAAATCTGTCTTGGAAGAAGTACAGCCAGAATGCTCCTCAGAAGCCAGGATGGCATGACTTCGTCTCGTGTACTTTGGACATGTTACCAGAAGGGACCAGTTCCTGGAGAAAAGACATTATGCTTGGTGAAGTAGAAGGTCAGAGAAAAAGAGGAAGACCCTAAACAAGATGGATAGACACAGTGGCTGCAACAATGGGCTGAAACATAGCAATGACTGTGAGGATGGTGCAGGCCTGGGCAATGTTTCCTTCTGTTGTACACAGGGTTGCAATGAGTCGGAACTGACTCGACGGCATGTAACAATACCAACAATATACAAGCTACTTACTCAGTTATATTTTCTTTTCTTTCCTGCTAAACAAAACGTGAAATCAACTTCTAGCACATAGAAGTACTTTCATGCCACAAAGTATTATGAAGGGGAAAAATCTACATATTTCCAAATTCATCCAAAGCAGCCAAATACACCTAATACGTGCAAAGAATCTCTTAAGTGGCACTTTGTGTGTGTGTGTGTGTGTATGCAAACTGACCAAACTCTTGCAGGAGCAATATAAATATTCTCTTTGTAGATCCCACTGAAAATCCATTCTCTTTACCCAGCAGACATTCTTTGAAAAAAACCTCACTGAAAGTAACATATATGGGTAAAAGAACACAGGCAAAGCAGCCACAGCAAATTATCAAGTGGGGTTTACACCGAAAAAGTGTGCAGAAAAAAAATCCAACCACATAATATAACGCTATACCAAAATGTTTAAGAAACACTGAAAAAGAGAAAGCAGACAATTATAGAATCGTATGTTGTGAAATTACTGAAGTTTTAGAAAAGATAAAGAGTACTAAAATATTTAAATTTGCTAACAATCACAACAAATAAGAAAATATTTTTTCAACAGACTAAACTTGCTTCCTTAACGGCATCATTGTATACTCTCCAAATTATCAACAAGAGTAGCAAAAAAAATTTATAAAACATGCATAGGCTTTTTATATTTTCTTCAAGATAAAGTAACACTGTAAAACTCTGTAGTAGAGTTTAATGAAATGAACACACATTATCTTTTGAGCATTTACTAAAAACATTAATACCCACAAGAATGGGAGAATATATTTGCAAATCATGTATCTGATAACGGACTTATATCCAAGGTGTATAAAGAACTCTTATAATTGAATAATAAAACGATAAACAATTCAATTAAAAAATGGGCAAAGGATCTGAACAGACATTTCTCCAAAGAAGATATACAAATAGACAATAAGCTCATGAAAAGATTCTCAATAGCATTAGCCATCAGGGAAATGCAAATCTAAACCACAATGAGGTACCACTTCACACTCACTAGACGGCTATTATCGAAGAGTCAGACAAGTGTTGGTGAGGATGTGGAGAAATTGAAACCCTTATACATGCTGGTAAGAATATAAAAATGGTACAGCCACTTTGGAAAACAGTCTGGTAGTTCCTAAAAAAGTTAAACATAGAATTACTATATGACCAGCAACTCCACTCCTCGGTATATACCCAAAAGACTTGAAAGCAGGGATTCAAACAAATACTTGTACACCAGTGTTCACTGCAGCATTATTCACGATAGCCAAAAGGTAAAAACAAACCAAGTGTCAATTAACAGATGAATGGATAAACAAAATATAATATGTCCATACAATGGAATATTATCCAGCCATAAAAAGAATGAAGTACGGATACATGCTACAACATGGATAAACTTGAAAACATATGCTAAGACCACATATTATGTGATCCTATTTATACGAAATGTCCAGAAGAGGCAAATCCACAGTGAGAAAGTAAATTAGTGATTGCCTAGGAATGTGGGGATGGGTTTCTTTTTGGGGTGATGAAAATGTTCTAAAATTAATTGTGGTGATGGTTGAACAACTCTGAATAGACTGAAAACCACTGAATCATACACTTTAAATGGCTGGGTTGTATGGTACATGAATTATGTATAAAGTTGTTGCCAAAAAAAAATTAATAGTTCATGTCTTAAGTGTAATGAATACTGTATCGGTGTATATGTCTTCTGGGTTCACTCATAGATCATTTAAGGTTTCAATGTCAATGTCTTCAATAATCACTTTAGTTAAATGACAATGCATTTTTATTTGACATTCCTTACAAAAAGGCTTGGCAAACTGAATCGCTTTTGAGATACTATGCTTCTTTTTACTCTTTACAAAGCAAGTAAAATAAAAGATTTAACAGAAATCACACACACACAAAAATTTGCTATCGATCCATCCACACTACTGAAAAGTTCTTGGATTCAAGATTCAAAGATAAAAATTTAAGTGTTGACTGCCCTGCTATTGGATTGAATTCGACCTTGGAACAAGCAAGCATACACTTAAGTCAAAGTTAGAAAGGTATTTTCAAACGTTACAGGATACTGTAAAAACATGTTCAGGTGTTTGGTTTAAAAATGTAGCCTGGGACAGTGCCAAGCAGTGCCCTTCTGCAACATGGCAGCAAGGGTTTTGTGTAATCCTGTCTCGGGTTTATCTTGCTTCTCAATGCACTTTAGATTCTCATCCTTCATAGCATGTGAAAGAAATTAGTCTACATTTGGAAATGTTCACGCCAAGACAGAAACCTGGGAGTCATCACCAACAACTCCTGGTTCTTCATCCCCATACACAAACTATCATCAAGTCCTGATGCCTCTAATTCCTAAATGTCTCTCAATCTACCTTCTCCTCTCCATCCCCACAGCCGTGCCTGAGCTGAAGCCCTCACTGCCTCATCTGGACTATTACACTCTCAACCAGTCTCCAGCCAATCTCCTCTCTAATATATGTATCAGCTTTCCCAGAATCATCTTTCTAAAACACAGAGAGATAGCTGGTTCACTCCCCTGCTGGAAATCTTTCTGTGACTCCTCACTGTTCACACAATAAAAGTCAAATGTCTGCCAAGGAATACAAGGTCTTGCATGGCCTGGCCCCTTGTCTCATTTTCTCACCACTCCCCCCAGTTTATCCTAATACGCCTCTATTGAACTGCTTATCATTCCCATAACTCCTATTGTGAGCGCTTGTGTCCCTGCCTGTACCCTTGCCAGATATGTTCTCCCCAGTTCTTCTGCCTGAAAACCTCCTAAAAGCTCCCTCATGAAGCTTTCCTGGCCCTCTCCAATAGAATTATGCTATTCCTCACCACTCCTCTATTATGGGACTTACCACTCTGAGCGCATACATTCGTCACCTACCAGACTGCTGCCCTCTTGAGGGCAGGGCTGTGTCTTAATCATCTTTGTATGCTGAGTGTGTAGAACAATGCTAAAGACAATAATAGGTACTTAATAAATGTTTAATAAATTAATTCAGCTAGTATTTTTTTAAATACCAAAGGACAGAAAACCTTAACAAATTTAGGTAAAATTAACTCTCAAAAGTGAAAGTGATACAGTGGAACATCAGACAACATAGAAACACCCAAATGTAATAAATCAGCCAAGGAGACCTGGCTGGGTTGATGTAAAAGTTACAGATCAATAAGCTTTGGAAGACAGTTTCTCCTCCAAAGTCATTTTCCTGAAAATGACTTCTTGCTTATATACTTTTGATACAATGTAGGCAATTAAATCTAACATAAGCAAAATCTCTTGGTTTTACTGTGAGGCTGATCATTTTCTCCATTCTGAGCTTTTGACTATTTCTCACAAACTGACAAAAACTAACCTAAACAGAAATACTAGAGTCCTTTGAGTTTGGTGTCTTACAGCTCTGTTTGTTAACAAAAGTTGAGAGCATTTTTAAGTACTACAATTAGTTACTTTACTATGAAACAGTACTTTAAATTCATTATGCCAAACATGATAAACTTCGTGAGCAAATTAAATGTATATACTTGTTTTCACCAAATTGACAAAGTGAATGTTATGTACATTCTAAGCCTTGGTGGCACAAATGGTTGATTAAGTGCTCAGCTGCTAACAAAAGGTTGTCAGGTCAAACCCACCCAGCAGTTCTGCAGGAGAGACCTGGCGATCTGCTCCCATAACGATTAAAGCCTAGGAAACCCTGTGGAGTAGTCCTACTCTGTTACATGGAGTTGCTGTGAGCTGAAAATCAACTCAACAACACTGCACCTAACAACAACAAAATCGTACCTAACAACAACAACAACAATCTCCCTAAAACCTTCCCCTTCAAAACTATTTTTTTGGTACTTAATATGCTTTATCTCCTTCTCCTCCTTCTGTAAACATGTCTGCCTATGTACCAATCAATGTCCTTTTCCTATTAGGCTGGAGCCCTGACCTCCTAAGACCAAACCTCAGTCTGAAATGCGTTCTGGCCCAGGAAGAGGACCAGCCATTGGGCAGTCATGGGACAGCGAGCCGGGCAGCACCCACCTGTAGCCCACCTTGCGGGCATAGTGCAGGCAATTCTCCTTTACGTGGGTCTGGAAATAGGCGGAGCGACAAAGGGCCCCGCACTCCGGGCAGCAGTAGGGGGACTTGTGTGCATGGATCCGCTGGTGGGCACAGAAACTGCACTGGTTGGGCAACAGCATCTGGCACACCTGGCAAGTCTAGGAAAGAACATCAAGAAAGCAGATCATACAGGCGCAGCAGACCCAGCGCTCTCCCATCAGAGCTGTCTGGTTTTCCTAGGATATGTGGCAGAATAACCCCCTGCCCCCACCACTCTCTTGTAAGTCCCCTAGGACACTTGTGACATGCCCAAGCCTCATTAAGAATGTCTGATACTGACACGCAAGCCAACTTTGTCTCCTACCTTATTAATCAGAGTCAGAACCCGACTATTTTCCCTAATGGGAGTCTTGTCCTCTAGGACTGTAAGTGCTTTTTACTCTGGCTTAGCATAGACGACTTTTCCTTTCCAGAGCCCTCAGGCACCTCTTGAATTCCAAGCGCTCACTGCACCACCACCAGAACCCTTCTAGTCGCACAGGCCTCAGCTCAGCTCAGCAGAGGCAGTGCTTGTCCTCCCACAACTCACAGTGCAAAAAAGTAGGAATAGAGGGATAAACTAAAAATAAATAAAAATGCTTACCTATAGGGAAGGAGGGAACAGGGCAAAAGCGACAGGGATGGAAGCAAGATTTCTCTGAATGTGCCTTGTTATTTAATTTTAACTTTGGAAACATATAAACGTTTTAGATAATTTAAAAAATAATAAAATTAAGGTTAAATTAAATAAAAGCATTTCTAAAACTGAAAACCAGAAACAAATAACCTAACTATATATTAAGATGGTCATATAACCGTACAAAGAGAAGAATTATCCCCGTAAGCTTAAAACACAGTATTTTGACTTACACATTCTTACTGTGGTGTATTCTAAGGGCAAAAAGAAATTAAGTATACTTTAAACTTATGCAGCTGTCTTAATGTTAGAAATAATACTGGTTTTGATATTTTGAAATTTTTACATGTATATTATAGGATCAATCAATATACTGTAGGAAAGTCTTAGGAACCAAGATTTTCAGGATAAAATCAAGTTACATAAAAATACTGTAATTTTAAATTAGAATACCAGTATAAATGCATGATTTTTCTTTCCTCTTTTTAAAAATATGTATTTACTCTCTCTGACCACTGAAAAGTCCTAGAAACAACAAAAACCCAGTAGTACTAAAAACCCAGTAGTACTGAGCATCTCTGATGCCTAGAATGTGTTCTCTAAATAGACTCCTGGCTCCTTGGAGATACAGCTGATTTTAGGTTTAGCACAAGACATGTGCCAGGGCATCTTGTCGGGGCTGAAGCAAGGAAGAGCTCAAGGATTAATGAGCTCATGCCAAAAAGACACAGGACCGCTTGAAGGGATTCCCACTAACCAAAGATGAGGTAACTTGGCATCAAAAAGAATGAATGAATAAACATACTGAATATATAAAAATCAGTGAGCTCATTATTACACTAAAACTAAAAATAATAGAGACAGGATTTTTTCAACACCATTTGAAACTGTTAGGGCATCAACTCACTACTCTGAAAATTGTTAAAGGAAACAAAGTAACTTTTAATCCCACTTTCCAACATAAATTATATTTCAATGTAACCAAATGGCCCTCACAGAAGAAGGGAAAATATTCTATACAGAAGTTCAGCTAATAAATGAAAAAGAAATGATAAAATTAGAAAAACACTCTTTTACAACTCCTAATAAAATTACCGATTCAAGCAATGATTTATGAATGGAATTCCTGGGTGATGCAAATGGTCAATGTGCTTGGCTGCTGATCAAAAGGTTAGAGGCTCGAGTCCACCCACAGGCACCTCAAAAGTCCTGGCAATTTACTTCTGCAAAATCAGCCACTGAAAACCCTATGGAGAACAGTTCCACTCTGACACATATGGGGTCACAGGGAGTCAGCATCGACTTGACGGCAAACGGTTTTATTAATGGATACTAAAATCATTAGGTAGAAGGTGGGGAACTTTATCATGAAGGGCTCAGAACATCATAATCTGAACTCACTGATCAAGTTTAGCTTCACTGAAAGTGAGACAGTCAGGCACTTTGGCCTCCTGAGAAGTCGTGAAATGTGAAGAATACAGCACCACCTATGCAGTCTTCATGCTCCCCTCAAAACTGAACCTGAATCTAATCAAGTCTTTAGAACTAACTTCTAGTCTACAGAAGAAACCTGGGGTAAGGAAGAACAAATTAGTTGCATGAGGAAGCAACCAGTCAAACCCAGAATTGTCCTAGAAAGTTCTCAGGACACATGACCCTATTTATTCAACAAGTCAATGGCATGAATAAAAAAAAGGGGGGAGGGAGAACATAGAGTAGAAAGAAGTACTGTTCAAGATGAAGATACAGATTAAAAAGACTTAATAAACAAATATAATATGTGCTCCATGTTTGGATCCTGATTCCAACAAGCCCAAATGTAAAAAGACATTTTTTGACACAATTGGGAAAATCTGAATATGGACTTATATTAAGTAACACTAAATTATTATGAATTTTGTTAGATGTGATAATGACATTACAGTTAAAGGAAATCTTAAGAACAAGAAAATAGAATCCCTCTGTGCTGACATCCTGCCCCAGCAAGGAAGCTTGGAATGCAAGAGGAAGGATGAAGAGATCCTCTTTAACCACTACAGAGGGAAGCATATTCAGTTCAGGTGGACTCTTAGGGAGGAGACAGAAGGCCCCAAACACACTGTCCCTACTCTGCGGTGGAACCAAACCCACAACTCATCTGTCCACCCCCTGCCTTAGGCACTGTCTCAGGACACCCAGGCCCAACCACCATCAAGGCTAGTCTCTGATCCCAGAGCTTAAGTCTTACTCCTTTCCTTGAGACTTGAAGGCCACAATTATCGACAGAACACTTTGTGAGGGCTGCGCGCTAGGCTGACAGCCTTCCTGGGTACTCCCTCCCTTCCTGTCTGGGAGGTTCTCTTGTCCAGCTCCCATTAGAGGAGAGTAACACAGAGAAGACGCAGGATGAGAAGGGTGCTAGCCGGGATCCTTGCCAGAGCTCTGCCTACTCAGATTTGAGAAGATGGGTGAGGAGCAGCATGGGGGCAAAAAAAAAAACGGCCCAGACATCAGCCCTCCACTGCCAAGGGTCCCAATCATGTGACTCAAAATCACATGACTCAAAAAAGTAATCCTGGCCCAACTCAACCAGGCTGGCAGGAAGAACACTGAAGCCCTGGGGAAAGGCCCCGGGGCAGCCACACTCCACCTGAGGAAGGAAAATGCAAACTGAAGCACAGAGAGGGTAAAGATGAGAAGCAACAAAGTATTCCTCCAGCACATTGATGATCCCCTTTTGCGGGCGGGGTCCTCTGCAGAAGTCCCACAGGCCTGTCAAATTCTACCTCCTGTCCCTAACCCAATACCCTCAAAGCCACCCTGTCAACAGCTCCGTTCCTCAAACCCATTTTACACATTTACATACCTTTGTAGTGCTCCCTATATCTGGAACACCCTTGCCCCTCCCCCTCCTCCAAACTCATCCTTGCAGGCCCAGCTTCAATATCACTTCCAACAGCCCCTTCCCTAGGCCTGGAGTCCCTGTGAATTTGTCTCTCTGAGGCACCTATGCCCCTATGCTTATAACCCAGCTTTAGTTCCAATCTTGGAGTCTGTGGGTGGTATAAACAGTAAACACACTCAGATACTAACTGAAAGGTTGGAGGTTCAAGTCTACCCAGAGGTGCCTTAGAAGAAAGCCCTGGCACTCTACTCTAAAAAAAAATCAGCCATTGAAAACCCTACGGAGCACAGTTCTACTCTGACACACACGGGATCACCATGAGTCAGAGTCAACTCCATGGCAACTGGTTTTAGTCCCAATCTTAAAGTCTATTTTACATGGTAGCTATTTGGGTGGTGAACCCTGCCCTTGCTAAGGCATTGTGAGCTTCTGGAGGATAAGTGTAAACCCCTCCCCACCCCACCCCGCACTTGGCACAGAGTCCCTGTGCACACTGTGGGCACTGGGAAAGCATGAGCAAAGCCTGCTGGTCACCAACAGGTGCACAGGCCCCCGGCTGAGCTGAAGCAAAAATAGTTGTGTTTCTCTTTCCTCTCAGGCCTCTGTAGCCCTGGCTTAGGGAGGCACAGTTAAGGGGGTGGGCTTAGCTAAATCGTGAAGAGAACCACCTGGAGGAGGAAAAAAGAATATTGAAGGCTGAGTGCCTCCATATGCCACCAGCAGCCTTCTGGAGGCTGCTTCTTCCCAGGACCTTGCTAATGCAGGCAGCTACCAACACAGAGGATGCCAGAGAGATTTTTGGGCAAAGAATGCCTTTAAAAAACAAACAAACAGATCTCCTCAAGTATAGCCAAGTATCTGGAACAAGCAGATAAGCATAACTGGTCAGAGCACAAATGAAAGGAGGCCCCAAAAGCCTCTGTCCCAAGCCCACAGGTCAGGCTACTTCCCTTCCTTCCACACCAGCCTTGCCGCTGTCCCTGTCGCAGTTTACCCAAAGGGACCCAGCAAAAATAGCTGTGTCCACTGTGGGGCAGAACAGCAGCACACTGAAAACATAGTTGTCAGAAGTACAAACTGAGGAGTGGAGCAGGGACTCACCTACCTCTGCCCCCGTGTCCTCTGGGAACATGGCCGGACTGTGCTGAGCCCTGCCAGGGACCAGAAGGTGACCATCCAGCAGAGACCTAACCCGAGGCCTGCAACAATTCCCGACAGCTCACTGGAGTGGGAGTTGAATGGAACATGGGGCATGGCCATCAATCTTCAGGGTCTCCCCTCAGTTGTGGGCAAGATGCCTTTCCCAATAAGCACCAAGCACTATATACTCAGGTGAGTTGCTAGCCGTCAAGTCAGACATCCTCCCCAAGGACTCCTGAGATCCCACCACTGCCCCCACATCAATGAGCGTTTCTCTCCAGGCCTGATCACAAGCCAGGGCCTGATACCCACTGGAGGGAGGGTCTGCTTACCAGCCCCTCGGTTTCCTCTGTCGTCCTCTGGAAATGTGCAGCGAGGGCAATGTAGTCCCGCATCTGCTTGTGACATTCAAAACACTTGAGTCCGTACCGGATGAGCCTCTCAGGATCTGGGTAGAGTGGCAAGGCTGGAGGAGGAGGACTGGCACTGCCTGAAGTGAGGCTAGGCTTGGGGGAGGCCGAGGGGGCCGGGGTTGCTGGTGCTGTGGAGTTCAAGGGGGCCGACACAAACATTTGGTCCACAGAGATGGGCTTCACAAGCAGCTGGGAGCACTGCATGACGAGCCCCTTGCTCTTGTGGTCGCGGGCGTGCCGGAGCAGGCTGCACTTGTTGAAGAAGAGCAGCGTCTTGGAGCACAATGTGCACAGCACCTCAATGTGGACGCTCCGCCGGCCGTAGTGCTGGCTCAGGCTCTTCTCTAAGGCAAATGCATCTCCACACTCCAGGCAGCAGTACCCACTGGCCGGCACATGGATCCTGCTGTCCGCAGGGGGGCTGAGGTTTGGTGCATAGAGGGGCACAGGGTTGGCGCTGTGGAGGACCTTGTTGAAGACCTCCACAATCAGCGGGGCAGCCTTCTTCACCTGGTGGACAAGGGGCACTGACATCTGCGTGAGTTGTGGCTGACTCCGCCTCTGTGCTGAGGACTTGGCCGTCACTGATGCAGCAACACTGTGTGGGACCAGGTTCAGGTTGGCCAGGTGGACGGCTTTGGGCAGGAGGTTGGCAGGGGCCAGACTGGAGGTCTGCAGTGCTGAGCTCTGCTGCTGCTTCTTGCCAATCTGTGGGCCCAGGGCAGCCCCCTTTGAGGCCCGGGGCCCAGAGCTGCAGCAGGGAGACGAAGACTCACTGGCCTTGCTCATGCTTTCATCCCCTTTCCTGTCACCCTGGGGGCTCCCTGAATTTGTGTCCAGCTCAGAAAAGTGCTCCTCTGCAGGCGGGGCAGCGTCCTCATCCCCCGGCACCTCATTTGGGGCCTCGGCACTGGCACTCCCTAGAGGTGACCCAACAGGGGACTTACTTGGATCGTCAGGATCCGGCAGGATCCTTGTGACAGTCCGTTTGATTTCCCCTGATGATGTCTTAATGGTTTTGATTCTGACTTTGGGAATTGCTGGTGGGGAGCTGGCAGCCACAGAAGGGGAGCCTTTGCTGCTGCTGTCACTGCAAATGCTGCGAGGGCTGTCCGATGGCTTGATACCTTTCCTAGTGGCCTCCAGAGGGCTCCGGGGACTCTTTGGTGACTTGGGCATTTTGGGACTGCCTTTAGAACCCTCTTTAGTGGGCCCTGAGGGATCCTTTGTGTGACCAGACTGATCCTCCTTGGTGACACTGGCCACTCTTTTGGCCTGCAGGGCCACCAGGGCAGCAACACAAGAGGACAGTTTGGAGTGAGCTGGCTTAAGACGCTGCCGAGGGGGGACTGACGAGCAGGTACCGAGCTCTGGAGCAAGCCCCTTGGGCTCTCCGATACTGTTGCTGGGGTGACTGTTGAATTCCAAAGCTTCCCCAAAGAATCGACTGGCATCCAGCTCCTTGTGAGATTCCACTGCCTTCTGCCCACTTCGCTCATGCTCCTGCTGGCCCCCCAAGGGCAGAGGTTCTGGCTTCGGTTCTTTCTTACAAAAGTGATCAAACATATGCAGCTCCGGGACTGGAAACTTACCCAGAGCTTCCAAGACTGGGCCACTCACAGGCCCGCAGCCAGGAGGGGGTGGGAAGTAACTGTCAGAATGCTTGGGCTTCATCCCAAGCCCGTTGTCTTTGATGGCATCCTCAGGTTCGGGGCTGGAGATTGGACTGAACTGGTTAAAGGTTGGTAATGGCTCTGACTTGGGCGGCTCCAGTTTGCCAGAGAAACTCCGAGCACTGTCTCCATTCATGAAAGTGGAATCAAACTTCCCACAGTTGTGTCCCAGGTTGTGTGGATCTGGAGGCAGGTCCGGGCCCCGGAATCCATTGTGTAGGAGGCTGGGAGTGATGTGGTCTTTCTCCGCTTCAAACGACTCCTGGCGGCTGGTGTTCTTGACAATGACACTCACGGCCGGAACATCTGGGGCTGATCCTGAGTGAGACAAGGACACACTCTCATCCATACACATGCCTGAAGGTTTGAGAGGACTCTCATTCTCCTCGCTGGGTGTCTGGATGGCCTCCTTGGCATCAAGGCTGGTGGGGTCTGGGATGTCAAAGGCAGCCAGAAGGTCATCAAAATCTGGAGTTTTCATGTCCCCCATGGCTGGATGCTGGCAAAGGCTATAAAAGAAATGGACGACAGAATTAGCGAGCGCTAGGATCCCAGTAGACTCTGTCCAGCGTCGTCTTCATCCCATGCCCATCACCCTAACACACATGCGGCCAGCACACCGATGCAGAACCCCCTGCACTATGGAAAAATTACACACCTAACAAGTTTTACCCCAAGTTTCTAAAATGCTGAAGAAGTAGGTAGAAAAGGGATTATATTCAGTGACAAGCCTGCCTTGCAGGTCCTAAACCCCAATACCCGGAAATTCCTGGCTGGCTGCATAGCCAAAGAGAAGATAGACTCACACCACACTCCCTCGATTTCTCAGGGAAAATCATCGCTCCATGATGAAGTGCACTGTCAAAAAGCCAATCACTCAGCCCTTTGAAGAAATGCATGGCTCAGCATCTCCTTCATTCAGAAAACTCCTAATTCATATGAGACTTGAAGAACTTTCTCTACTAATTTACTCTTTGTAATTATTCACCAACTTTGCATAACTCTGTATTTTTACTGTTTGAATTCAATCAAATCCAAAATGATTTGCTAGTGCCAGGATTTGTGCTAAACTGTCTCATGAATAAACTCTAGAATATTCTATCATCCCCTAGGTATTTTTTGCTCTATTCAGCAGACACCCTTGATTCCTTGCTTTTCACCCTAAGGTTGTTGTCCATGAGTAAATGGGTGGTTAGACCTGAGGGACAGGGTGACTCTCAAAGCACCACATGGTTACCAAATTAGCCAGGGGACAGTTTTGAGAAAGCCCTAAATTCTATTTTAACTTCAGACACAAAGAAAAGAAAATGCACCTGTTTCCTTCATGACCTGAAGAAGCAGAGCTACAGAACTATGGTCAAAAAGAATATGCAAGACCTCAGGAAAGAGGCCCTCCACTAAGAAATTACTATGACACTCACACTTCCAGGAAACATGAAATCTGGCTGGCTCAAACATGCTTGAGGGAGGGGAAAAACCCCACCACCTCCCTCGTTAAGCCCTAAATCCTCCATCTGCTTTAGCATCCCAAGGCCATCCTGGCTTAGATATTTCTCACACCATATTTATGCTGACAGTTTTCTGGATGTGGACTTGCACAACTCCTTTAGAAAGCAGTGTGGCAGCTGCACAGAATAGACAAATGACAAACCCTTGGGTCCTGGAACCCCACTTCCAGAACTTTACCCTAAGACAAAAAATTTCCAAAAGCCATATGCAAAATTGTATGCTGCAGCATTATTAGAACAGCACAAAAGAGACACACGTACACAAAAAGAATCTAAATGTCCAACAACAGGGAATAGATAAATAACTGATGGACTATTATGCATTCAAAATCCTAATTATGACATCTATGTAGCAACATGGAAAACTACTTACAGCATTAAGTTCTAAAAAAACTAATACAAAAATGTTCACAGACTATGGTTATAACAAAATAAAACTCAATATGCATTTGAGACAAGAACAAAAGAAAAATGAAAATAATTATGCACGGTGGTGGGATTACTGGTGGGTTATTTTTTCAAAAATCACTGTATGCAGATAGATTGCTTTTATAATTTTAAACAGGGAAAAAAAACTTAGAACCATGAGGGGAGCAGGTGCCATGGCAAAGGTATATCTGTTACCTCCCCATGGGACCAGCAGGTTTGCAAGTCTGATTTCTCCACACACCTCCTAACCCCATCAAAATACAACTTCACAGAAAATTAAAAATACAACCCCTACACATACACTGGAAAGTTACTTAATTATGGTAGGTAATAATAAAGTGAAATACCAATTATCTAAACATGGGTCAGCAGAATACCTCATTGGAATGAGAGGTAAAGTTTTTGGACAAAATGAATGATAGTCTCCTAGAATGGGAAGTTTTGGAACCTGTAAACAAAGGAATGGATGTCACTGAAAGTACTGAAGGCATTAGTACCAAGTGAACTACTATGCAGGGTGATAACTGTAAGGAAACATGTGCATGATATTGGTTCTACAAGCTTATTCCCATTTCTTTTCTTTTTTAACTGTACAGGAACAAAGAGATTGAGGGAGAAGTGCAGAATAGATTGGTCCTTTTAAGGAGATGGGAGAAACGTGTGTGGGGAGGGGTAGGGATGGCTGGTGGTATATGTGAAGAATAGATGAGAGCCTGCTATTGTCTAACATGAAGTCACAGGGGCTTGAAGCAGAGATACTGCATCGAGAGAAAGTAATGTTCTCCACACCAGAGAAATCTCAGAGACTCCCTGAGAATGATGAGAAGTAAGGTAAGGTGTCTTTGGTTAGGAAAATCAGAGCTAGTAAATGATGTGGCAGCTCAGCATCAGCAACAGGAAAAAGCTTTTTACCAAAGCTGAAGGCTATAAAACCCAAAGATCAAGTCCTGTTTTCTAGTTAGCCCTAGTAGGGAAAACCAGAAGCAGCAGCAATTGATAACAGTAAACAAGGGACTCACCTTCTACCTAGGTGTTTGTATTTATTTCAACCTTGCTCTAAATTCAGTATCGCATCGCTTATAAGTAGCAAATAGAAATTAATCAAAAATCTACCCTGTTATAAAAGCAAAGAAAGAAACCATAATGAAAAAGACTACGAATAAAAAGTTTTATTCATCAAAAACCTGCCAGCAAAGTTAAAAGGCAAACAGACCAAAAGGAATAACTGCAACATATGGTAGCTAATATCATTAATGTAGTTACTAATATATAAAAAGTTCTTACAATGAAATAAGTAAAAGATGAACAACCCATTAGGAAAATGAGCAAAGGTGATGATAAGGGGACAATTAAAAAAAGAAGAAACACAAGTGGACAATTAATACATGAAAAAAGTTGCAACCTCACAAGAAATTAGAGAAATGTAAATCAAAATAATTGGAAGTTAATTCTCGTTTATCAAATTGACAAAGGTTTTCATAAAATGATAATCCCCAGTGTTGGCAGAGATGTGGCAAAGTAAGCGTTCTGAAGGTAGTATAAACTGATACAACCTATCTAAACAGCACTTTAGCAATGCAAACAAAACGGTCAATAACACCACTTCCAGAAATTTACCCTAACGAAACAGATGCACATGGCAATTTCTGTGCAAAGATAATCATTACAGAATTATTGATAATAAAAAATGGGACACAACCTCAAGTTTTAACTATAGGAAACTGGTTCAATAAATCGTGGTGTATTAAATAAAATCAAATACTAGGTATCATAAATTATATTACAGATCAATATCCAAGGCTGTGAGACATGCTGTCAGAAAAGAAAAAAGATAACCGAATTGTATACATAGCATAATTGCTATTCAAAACAAAAAACTTTTAAACACATACAGCATATATGAAAAAGGCTAGAATACTCCAAAATGTTAAAAGTGACTCAAGAGATGATGAAATTTTCCTTGTTTTATTTATTTGTATTTTCAAAGCATTTATAGTAAAGTTGTATAGCTTGTGTGATTTTATTAAATTATATTTCCTTTAATATAGCAAAAGAAGAAGAAACTAAGCAAGCCAAAAAATTTGAGCCACCCCGCCTTGCAAAGGACTCTAAAAATCATTCATATAAGATTCTCAAAACACACTAGCATGACTCAGCAGGAGAATGCTAGCTAGCTAATCAGTGGAGTAACTTAATTAAAATAAAAGGTGAGAGAGAGAGAAGATAGGTAGGTATGTACAGCAGAGTAGCGAAACGTAAGGTAGACAGGTAGGTATAGTCAAAATAAAAAGCCTCAGTATACATCATTGTTTGCAATCTGCTGAAAGTAGCATGCTGAAATTAGGAACAGCAAACCCCAGGCAGCTGCGTACCTTGCCTAGGGGACAGCTACATGGGGCCCAGAGCTGGGTGGTGGCCCCTGCCCTGTGTCCACGAATACATTCTAGGAACCATGGCCTACCCTGCATGAGCACTCAGCAGAAATTCACCTTGAAGCGTCTGAACAAGCTAGATCTAGACACAGTGAGCTCACTGAGTAACACAGAGCAGCCTAGTCAACATGCGAGGCAGGGTCACGGGTTCTCTGTGGCCCAGGCTGAGAGCAAATTTCACTCAAAGGTGAGACGGTGAAACTATGCAACAATATATACAAACCCTTGGGGGTAAAGAACAACTCCAGGACTGGCAGCCACTACCCTCTTTCAGGATGACTTTCTATTCCAGGGAGGATCTAGAAATTAAAAGAAAAGTTGAGTATAAATTCTCATTGTTTATTATAGGTTTTACTAGTTTGCCCAGGAAATTTTACCAAACAGTTAAGTAAACATAATCAATTGGAGGGGGGCAGGGGCGGAGCATCTTCATTTTGGGAGGAAAAACTGTCTAATTAGCCTATTAGAATTCATTGAGGTAAAACCAAGTTCTCAGATTACAGCAGAACTAGTAGCAGAATTTCTTCAGATTTTAAATGCCGAAATTACACACACACAAACCACTGAATTCCACAGAACTTGGGTGAATGTATGGTGTGTGTGTTTATGTGATTGTCACTGGAACTGCGAACAGTAGTTTTTAACCCAGCGACCAGTTCTGGACTGGAACTTAATGATTTTATAAGTTACCTAGAATGGTGGTTCCCAATTCACTAGGGAACTCAACTTCACATGCACGTATGTATCCTTAATGATTGGCCATTAAAAATTCCACTATTGAATGAGGTCCATGAAAAAATCATTTAGAAAAGGAGGTCTCCTACTCAAAATGCTTTGGGAAGCAATGATCTAGTAGAAGGACTTTAGGCTGGACGCCTAGTGAGGGAGGAGGCTTATCTGTCTCATTCATCATCGCATTCATCATTAGGTATTCAATAAATATTTGTCAAAGCAATAAAGTGGAACCTTCAAGTTTACCAATGGCACCTAAAGCTGCTCCAGAAATCAAAATGCAAAATGAAAAGGCAGCAAGTTCTCATGAGGCTGTGTAAATAGGCAAAATTGTGGCAAATAAGCATCAGTGAATGCAAATCTAAAAGAACACTTAGGGAAGAGCAATTCCAATTATACTTTAGAATAACGGGGCTCTAAGCTAAACTGTTCAAGAAAGAGGCCTGGACATCAGTTTAGACTCTTCTCTCTTAAGACACCACATTGCATGTTTCATCACAATAGGTCCAGAAAACGCTGGGCATTATCAGAAAAGGACACTGGAAGCAAAATAAAACGTGTGATCCTACCCTTATTCAAAACCACTCAGAGACCACAGCTAGAAGTGCTGCACAGTCCTGGTTCCCCACACCTAAAGAAGGCATAACAGAGTAAGAAGTTCTGAGAAATTAGATCAAAGTTATACAGTAGATGGCAGAGCTCCCTAATGAAAGCCTAAAAAAATTACAACTCTATTTCATTCTGGAGGAGGAAGATTTAGGGGAAAAAAGGAAGCATAAACTGGAGTATAGACATGTTCATCAAATCTCAAAGTACTACAGAGGGTAGGGCAGTATTTCAAAGTTTGAAATAAAAGAGGTAACCAAATAAAAGGTTACTTTATTCATTAGTCAGAAAATGTATGGAAGTTGTTACAGGCATTAATATACTAACATAATATACTAATAGACTTATTCATATCTAGAAGTAAAAAAGGGCTCTGAGGAACTAGGAACAAGGAATACTCACTAAACCCATTAACTTTCCCTCAGCATATTGAAGATATCAAATTTCAGATAACATTAAACTTGGTCATGTTTTTCTTAGCAACACGAAGTTCAGTTAACAGTAAAAACACAAAACCAGTTACCGTCAAATCGATTCCAACTCATGGCAACCCCGTGTGTGTTCAGAATAGAACTGTGTGCCACAGGGCTTTCAATGGCTGATTTTTTAGAAGGAGACCGCCAGGCCTTTCTACCGAGGTGTCTCTGGGTGGCCTCAAACTTCAACTTTTCTGTTAACAGCCGAGCGCATTAGCCGTTTGCCCTACTCAGGGACTCCTCAGTAACAGGAGATTAATAAAAATTCAGTAATAGGACATCAAAGGGGGCAGAGGTGTTCCAAAAGCATCAAGAAAAATCTGATTTCTATTCAGTATATTATGTTTAATAAGACAAGGAAGCAAATAACACATTACAGATTTATAAAAGTGAAAGACAGCATGATTTAAAGAACACCGGACTGTGAGACAACAAAACTGCCATTGTTGGCTGAAGGCTGGAAGGATGGATGGATGAATTTTTTACAACAAATCTGTAGGGTAACTCTTTACCCTGTTCCCCATATAACTGAATATGGCTTATGTATTGATATAATCTCTATAAAATTATTACTTATAATGGTTAAAAGTTTTAAAATGGGTAACTGTGAGTTACCTCAGCTGTCTATTTCAGAAGAAGGAGCATGCCGGGGACAAAAGAGCAAAGAATAACTCAAGCTGTGTGATACCAAAAAGAAAAAAAGAGCAAGAGAGAGACAGGTTACTCAGCAGAAGCTGAGAACAGAAGAAAGTACTGTCTGAGTTGCCAGGTAGGGGAATTTTTTGTAATAGGAATGGAAGCTAGACAAGCGGAGAGAAAGAAGGAACAAGGAAGCTTGAGAGCAGGCTGCTGTTCCCAGATCGACAGAAGCTCCTGCCTGGACTCTGGCAGTAACTAGGATTAGACAGAGACATTGATTTCATGGGTGGTGGTGAAGGCAGCTCAGTGAAACTTCAGCTGGATCAAAGGAAACTGAAAAAAGAGCCCCAGAATGAAGGCCCAGAGTGGGAATGGTAGAGCTAAGAGCATAAGGAACTGTGAACCACGAGAAGTGGCTTCCACCTCTATGCTGTCACTAATTACCTGAGTGAAGACGTTAGGCGGGCCTTGGTTTAATACGTAAAATTAAACTAACTCTAAAGATCCTTGAATAGGCTAGGCTGCGGCAGCTGGGCAAATTAATCTACAACTAATGGATCTCTACATAAAGCTTAACTCTTAAGGTGGATACAGAGACTCCCTACCATATGCATATCACTACCCATCTAAATTCACCTCTGAGGCCGGCTAACAGGTCTAAGGGACCCTAAAACATACGTTCTGAGTAGGTCAGTGGCCAATATTTCATTTCATGAGGCACCTGGCATTCCAACTATTAGCAAGGAACAGCCCAAAGAGATTTTCATCAACATTCAAGGATACAGCTCCTCAGTGGCCCCAGGCAAAACAATTTTTTTCACCTGTCCTTTCCTCTAATAGTCTTAACTCCTCCAATCTTTGCCAGAATGATTGCTATAAAACACATATCTGATCACCTCCAGGAGAGAGGTCAAACTCAGGCCTAGCATGGCAGATCCACTCTGATCTGGTCTCTGCATACCTCTCCAGCCACTTCCCCAAGATACCTCCCATTCTAACCACATTTGGAGGTCTCTCAAACTTTCATGCCTCTGGGTCAGGGTCCAAGCCACTCCCCTGTGACTAGAGAATAATACCTGGCACCCCAACCCCACCCTGGCCCCAAACACGGATCTGCCTGAGAAATCTTCCTTATCCCCCAAGCTCAGGCCCAGGGCCCCCTTCTGGATGCCTTCTCTGAGCACTGCTGCACCAGTCCATGACCCTCCTCCTTCTCCTCTTCTTCCATTTTCTCCTCACACTGGGGACTACCCCCCACCTCTATGGCAGCACTCCCCACAGTGGGCTGGAATCATGAGTTTTCTCATTAGTCTCCCCTATCAAACTGTGAGCCTCTCCAAAGTCGGGGTTATGTCTTTCATCGCTATTTCCAGGGACTAACACACCTGGTTCAGTGGCAAGTGAACTGCTCCTACCCACCCAGAACCATTCCTCCCCACTCTGCAAACCCCTGGCTGATACACTTGCCCTCCTGCCTGCACTGCCCGAGGTGTCCTTCACCCAGAGGCAGCTTCTGCTCTCCTCCTCCATGCTCTTCCCACCCCGACCAAAATTCTCAAGTATTCTAGCCAGACTCACAGAATGTTAGAGCTGAAAGGGACCTCAGAAATTATCTGGTCCAGTAGCTTCCAAGTGCCGTTCTGTTGCTGGGCTAACTGCAAAAGAATAACATGAGAAATAACTTTAAAATCCAGATTTCCAAGCTCCACCATAGAACTTGTGATTCAGTCGGTCTGGGGTGGGGCCCTGGCACCTGCATTTACAGTTATGTGTCACTTAACATTCACGATACATTCTGATTGGGACGTTGTGCAAACATCTGGGCCCACAGGCCCGGGACTGCTGTGCCACACATGACCTGGGCATCTCCTGCTGAGGATGCCTCAGGTGAGTACTTGGTGGGTCCCGCCCAGTGTCCTAGGCAGCAGGCGGGCAGTCTCAGCAAACTGGGACCTAGCATCCCCTCCAGAGCTGATCCCGCGATGCCTGCCGAGCGCCCTCATCCACTCCCCCCAGCAGCAGGAGTATCCGTTCCCAAGGGCAGGGAGCTGTGGGGCAGACTGTCAAGCTGGACTGTGGGCACCCCCCCGGAGAAAGGAAGGGAGAGTTCGGTTTCTTTTCCCCCCTCATTTTGGGACCATCAGTCATTTATTGTGGGGGTGGGGGTGGGGGTAGAGTTAGGGAAAGAGCTCCTTTATAAAAGGAAACAGAAGGTTGCACCTGGAGCCTGGCTGGCTGGAGCCCCAGGGTAGGGTCTCTCAGCCCCCAATCTAGGCCATTCCTTCCGCCTTGCTGGGGCTCAGGCTCCAGCTGCTCTCTTAGGCGGCCACACCCAACCCTGCACACGGCTCCAGGCAGCCCCTCTGGGCCCCAGCTTGGCCCGGGCTCCTGGCCTCCAGGCCTCCAATCCTTTCCTGCTGCTTCTTGCGTGGAGGCCCAGTGGGCTGTCTCCTCTTGGTCAGCCCAGGGAACATGTCCTCATCAGGCTTCTCGCCCACCACCTGGTAGAAATACTCAGCTTCATCTTCCTCCTCCTCAGGTCACCGGCCCCCTCGGCATCCCTGTCCCCATTCACCTATGTCCGTGCCCTCTTCATGCCCACCAGGCTCTTCTTCCTGTGGGCCTCTTGCTGCTTTCACTTGGGCTGCACGTTATGAGCCTGCTGGTCCTACCTCTGGGCCTTAAAATGCAGCCTCTCCTCCTTGGCCACCAGGATGGCCTGCAGCTTCTCCTCCGTCTTGTACACAAAACTGTAGACACCCCGACACCCTCCTGGATCTTGATGAGCTGCAGCATCATCCAAGGACTGATCTCAGTGAGCCACAGAGAGCTCTGCTGGACCCACTGTCTGGGCAGCTCCTTAATGTTGTGCTCACTGTCAGGCTCCCCCTAGCTCTCTGACAGCCCCACACCCGTGGCCAACAGCTCACTGATACCCTGCGGATGGCTCATATTGGGGAACTTCTTCTGGAGAAGCTTCTTCATCCGCAACTTGCTCCCACAGGAATGGCTTTGATGTTATAATGGTGGGAATCCAGCTCCTGGGAGTCAAATGAGGAGAAGGCAGCACTTGATGGTGTTCAGGTTTACCTTGTGCATGTTGATGGAGGGGGAACAGGTTCTGGAACATAATGGCCATGAGCTTCATATGTATGCTGTGGGCACCAAAGCTGTTGAGCACCAGGAGGGGTGGGTAGGCATCCTCCTGAGGGCACGCACTGAACCACGGACCTATACACCATAGGTCATTGCTCCGAACGAATGTTATGCGGTGCGTGACTGTATTTTAAAGCTTCCCGGCTGGGTCTAGTGTTCTGGTCTAGTCCAACCTCTTCATTTTTTATTGGGGCTCAGAAACAAGAATTCATCCATCAAACATTTACCAAATGCCAAGAATTATACCTGGCACTGAGGACACAAAGCTGAAGGCCCAGACCCTACTCCAGAGTACCATCACAGAACCCACTGAAGACATGGCAGCCACACATTCATGGACACCACCGAAGGCTCACCAAGAGCACAGGATTCCTAGAGGCAAGAAAGGGAGACGTGCTTTCTCCGACCACTCATCAGAAGTAACCTCACTCCCCACTGTGCTCCCTTTTGCTTTACTTATTCCTTAGCATGGCATAATTTTCTACCTTTACTGGACCAATAAACAGAGAAAAGATTGAAGTTGTCAAGAATTTCATTTTACTTGGATCCACAATCAACACCCGTGGAAGCAGCAGTCAAGAAATCAAATGACGCACTGCAAATCTGCTGCAAAAGACCTCTTTAAGGTGTTAAAGAGCAAAGACATCACCTTGAAGACCAAGGTGCGCCTGACCCAAGCCATAGTGTTTTCAATCGCCTCATGTGCATGCAAAATCTGGACAATCAGTAAGGAAGATCGAAGAGTTGACGGCTTTGAATTGTGGTGTTGGCAAAGAATATTGAATATACCATGGACTGCCAAAAGAACGAACAAATCTGTCTTGGAAGAAGTGCAACCAGAATGCTGCTTAGAAGCAAGGATGGTGAGACTTTGTCTCAGGTACTTTGGACATGTTATCAGGAGGGATCAGTCCCTGGAGGAAGACATCATGCTTGGTAAAGTAGAGGGTCAGCAAAAAAGAGGAAGACTTTCAGCGAGATGGATTGACACAGCGGCTGCAACAATGGGCTCAAGCATAACAACGATTGTGAGGATGGCGCAGGACCCGGCAAAGTTTCATTCTATTGTACATAGGGTTGCTATGAGTCAGAACCAACTCAACAGCACCTAACAACAACTATAGTTATTTCAGTATGCATATTTCCTTTCCTATTATTTATATAAGCCTCTGAACAAGTACTCACAAAATTATTAATTAATTGGTATCCCCTCAAATCTAGGCTTGTATCTCAGCTTGGATGTTGAACGTTGTTGTGGTGTGTTGACAAGTTGATTCCAACTCATAGTGACCCTATATGACACAGTAGAACTCTCCCATGGATCTCCTAGACTGTAAATTTTTACAGGAGCAGATTGCCAGGTCTTTTCTCCTGAGGAGCTGCTGTTGGGTTCGAACTATCAACCTTTTGTTTAGCAGCCAAGCGCTTAAAACCATTGTGCAACCAGGGCGCCTTGGATGTTGAATAGGGCATCTCAAACTTAACATATCCAAAATCTAACTCCTGATTTCTTCCTCCAGTCTCCTTCATTTCAGTCAATGACAATTCTATCCTTCCGGTTGCTTACGCCAAAAATCTTAAAGAGTCATCCAGAGTCTTATCTTTCTACTATGGATTGAATTATGTTCCCCAAAAATGTGTTGAAATTTTAACCCCTATACCTGTAAATAGGAGTCCCTGTGTGATGCAAATGGTTAAGCACTGGACTACTAACCAAAAGATCAGCAGTTCAAGCCCACCCAGAGGCATCTTGAAGACAGATCTGACAATCTGCTTCCAAAAAATCAAAGCCTTGAAAACCCTATGGAGCAGTTCTACTCTGCACACATAGATTGCCATGAGTCAGAATCAACTCAACGGCAACTAACAACAATGCCTGTAAATATGACCCTGTTTGGAAATAGTGGTTTTCTTTTGGAAATAGTAGTTTTCTTTTGTTATGTTAATAAGGTCGTACCAGAATAGGATGGGTCCTAAGCCTAACCAGTTCAGAGCTATAAAAAGAGGAAAAATAGACACAGAGACACACACAGGGGATGAGGAAGAGAGACTACCGAGAGAGATGCATATACAAGCCCAGGAAAACCAAGGGTTGCTAGCAGCTACTGGAAGCTGAAATAGGAAAGGAAGGACCTCTCTCTAGAACTATCCCCTGAATTCAGACTTCTAGCCTCCTAAACACTGAGAAAATAAATTTTTATTATTTAAAGCCACCTACTTGTGGTATTTCTGTTATAGTAGTACTAGACAACTGAGACTCTTTCCTTTTCACCCTTCATCCAACCTATAAGCCAATCCTGTCAACGCTACCTTCAGAATATATCCAAATCCAATCATATCTCACTACCTCCAAGCATCATTCATCTCATGGATTCCTGCAAAAGGCAAAAGCCTGCTAACTGGTTTCCTTGCTTCCACCCTTGCCTCTAGCATTTTTCTCAACACAGCAGCCAGAATGCTCCTTTTAAAACATAAATCAGATCATGTCACTCCTCAAAACCCTCCAATGGCATCCCATCTCACACAGAGTAAAATCTAGTCTTGCCCACAGCTTACAAGGTCCAGATGATCTAACTGCCCTCTGTTCACTCCACCCTCTCTGTCACTCAGTCTGCTCCAGGCACACACAGGCCTCCTTACTGCCCCACAAGTATGCTGGGCATGAGCCCTCCTCAGAGTCTCTGCATTTACGATTCCCTCTGCCTGGAATGTTCTTCCCCCAGGTCTCTGTGTGGCTCACTCCCTCACTTCCTTCAGGCCTTTACTCAAATGTGTCTTTGTCAGGGGCTTTCCACATCCATCCCATATAAGATACCAGTCCCCACCCCCACCATCAGTCTCTATCCCTTTACTCTGCTTTGTTTTTCTTCATAGCACTTATCACTACCTGACATATAATTGTTTATTTCCTTATTGTCTGTTTATAAGCTCTAGTCCATTTATTGAAGGTAATCCACCATTAGAAAGGTGGAAGATGTTAGAAGCAGAAATATTAAATGATTCAACCATCTCACTACTAGGTATATATCCTAGACAAATAAGAGCCACCACATGAATAGATATATGCATACCTACGTTCACTGCACCATTATTCACAACAGCAAAAAGATGGAAATAACCTCAGTGCCCATCAATGGATGAATGGATAAACTGCGGTACATACACACAATGGAATACTACGCAATGTTAAATAACAATGAATCCGCGAAACATCTCACAACATGGATGAACCTGGAGGACATTATGCTGAGTGAAATAAGTCAATCACAAAAGGACAAATATTCTATGAGACCACTATTATCAAAAGTCAAAAAAAAAAAGTTTACACACAGAAAGAAACATTCTTTGATAGTTACCAGGGATGTGAGGAGGAGGGAGGGGTAATCACTAACTAGATAGTAGAGATGTATTAACTTGGGGAAGGGAAAGACAACACAATATGGGGGAAGTCAGCATAACATGGCCAAGGCAAAGGAAGACACTGGGAGGAAAGCAAGAGTAAAAGGCAACAACGGTAAATACTATTACATACACAAACAGTAATAAACAATAAATTACAAGTGGATACAAATACGTAAGCTGAACAGGAGTAGAATGGCGTATGGGAATACCCCCCATGAGCATATATAGGTTTGGCAGAGGATATTCCTACATAGGCATTTGTATGTGCTGCAAATATATTCATGTGTATAACAGAGCACACAGAGGACATAGTTATGAAAACTAGCCATAACCAAACACCTCAAGGGACAGAGTCACTGGGCTTGAGGGTATAGGACCATAGTTTCAGGGGACATCAAGGTCAATTGGCATAACATAATCCATAAAGACGATATTCTACATCCCATTTTGGTGAGCAGTGGCTGAGGTCTTAAAAGCTTGTAAGCGGCCATCTAAGAATACAACTATTGGGCTCTTCCTATCTAGAGCAAAGAAGGGTGAAGAAAATCAAAGTCTCAAGGAAACAATTAGTCCAAAGGGCTAATGGACTACATAAACCACAGCCTCCACTAGCCTGAGACCAGAAGAACTAGATGGTGCCTGGCTACTAATACTGACTGGTCTGATCGTGATCACAGTAGAAGGTCCTGGACAGAGGGGGAAAAATGTAGAACAAAATTCAAATTCATAAGGAAGACCAGACTTACTAGTCTGATAGCGACTATGGCCCTTAGACACCCTTCAAACTTGGAAGTGAACCCACTCCCAGAGATCACCTTTCAGCCAAACAATAGACAGGCCTATAAAGTGAACAATAACACCTGTGAGGAATGTACTTCTCAGAATAATCAACCAGACCAGACCAAAAGGGCAGCATTTGCCCAAAAACAAAGTTCAGAAGGCAGGAAGGGACAGGAAAGATGGATGAATGGAAACAGGGAACTCAGGGAGGAAGGGGGTAGAGTGCTGTCACATTGAGGGGATTGCAACTAATGTCACAAAACAAAATCTGTATAAATTGTTGAACAGGAAACTAATTTGTTCCGTTAACTTTCACCCAAACCACATAAAATGTTCAAAAAAAGAGAAAAAAAGGTGAAACAAGTTGACAAGCTCATCTGTCCAGAACTAACATTGTTCAAGGACAGTCACAGATTCCCAAGCAGGTTTATTACCAGTCAGGCAACTGGCAAATCTGCAGTTTTTTTTTTTTTTTTTTTGGGGGGGGGGGGGGCTTTAAAATTTTTATTATAAATAGAGAGATCTTGAGTGGTGATGAGACCTCACCAGCAGAAAGAAGTCTACCTGAAGTGGCACTTGTCTATGAATCCTGTGTTCCTGCAGGTGCTAAGTTAAATATTTTAGCAGTGGAAAATGCCTACTGGTCAATGTCCCCATGATAAGGTCACCTGTCTTGAGGATGGGATCAGCATGACACTAGCGGAGAGGGAAGGCTAGCTCTGAGAACCATGGGGGAAGAGAGGGCACAGTGTAGTTTTGAGCCTTAAAAAAAGGGAATACAACTCTGCAAATATACCAAAAAAAAAAAAAAAAAACCACTGAATTTACACTTTAAATAGGTGGATAGTACGCCATGTGAATTACATCTCAATAAGGCTGTAATGTTAAAAAGAAAAGAGGATAGAACTGGAGGGAGTTGGAAATGGAAACTAGGTATAGGCAACAAACTTTAAAGAGAGCTGAGAACTTAGATACAAACTGATACTTTGTAACCTATACCCCCTTTAACTTTCAACATTTGCAAGCAGATGTCAGCACTAACAGCACTACACATTGTTAGAGGGGAACAAGTCGTAGACACTTGAGAAAAAAGGGAGACAGGGCTTCTTATTCACACACATCCTGGAGGAGCCGCTCCCACTGAACTTTGTAAAAGTGTCATCTCATGGTGATGGAGACTCCCAAATTTAAGCAAGAAGCCAGCAGCCTCAGTCCTTCTGAGAACCAAGCCTCCACTCCCTGAGCAAAGGGCCCCAGAAAAGAGACAGGGCCACTCTCTCCATGCATTTATTTAGTGGCTCTGAGGGCACCACCAGTCTCACCTACCACAGGCAAACTACTGAAACGTGTGGGGGACACAAGGAGCATGCTATTAGTGCCCTGTGGTTCCCTTAGATCATCAGAGGAGTTAGATCACCAGGTCTTTTCTCCTGCGGAGCCACTAGTGGGTTAGAACTGCTGACCTTTCAGTTAGCAGCTGAATGCTTAACCATTGTACAACCAGGGCTCCTTTTCAGAGGAGTTTAAGAGCTGGGAAGGAATCCTGATGACTCAGTGGTTAAAGCACTCAGATGCTAACCAAAAGGTCAGCAGTTCAAACCTACCAGCCACTCCATGAGAGAAAGATGTGGCCGTCTGCTTCCATAAAGATTATAGCCTTGGAAACCCTACGGGGCAATTCCACCCTGTCCTAGAGGGTCACGATGAGTCTGAATCGACTCTACAGCAATAGGTTAGGAGCTGGTAAGTCAAGGGGCAAGCAGAGTTTCTCTCCCAGGCACTCTGCACTCTCACTTCCCTTCTCCTCTTTCTCACCCTCCCCCCACACAAACTCTTCTCCTTCTAATCCCTCTCTCCCTATTCCCTTCTCCATCTCCCTTACTTCCTCCCTCTCTTGTTCTCACTCTTCCTCCCTCTTCTCTTCTCTCTCTCTCCTCTCACCAGAATTCTGGGAGGGCTCTTGCACCATTGCTGACCTAAAGGCAGTCAGCCTTCTGCAGGAAAGCAGAGGAAGAGCCAAGGTAGCCTCTCACCAGTAACCCAGCACAGCAATGGATCCAACATCCAGGTGTCCATGTGTGCCCTCTGTATATGTCCCTGGTGACCTAAGGAAATGCTAGAAAATAATGCCAGACAAAATGGGAAATTAAGAGTCCTCATCTTTTTAAGACAGTGAAATGTTTACAGATACAATGATGTGATGTCTGGGATCTGCCTCAAGACAACCCAGGGCATGAAGAAGAATGCAGGGAGGGGTATGTAAATGAAACACGGTTGGCCATGAATTGGTAACCGGTGAAGCTGGGTGAGAAATACATGGAGGTCTGTCATATTTTCTACACATGTGTACACTTCAACACACTAGGGGCCGGGCCCTTAGCCAGTGGACCCAGTAGGTCCAATTAAATATGTAATTGAATAAGTAAAGAAAGAATCACTTGTGCCCAAATTCTCGGGTCTTCAAGGCCAGCTCAGGTCAGGCTAGATACCTTACCTTAGTGAGGTTCTCAAAACAAGAATGTGGTGAGCATCGCTGCAGGTGTAGAGCTGCGGAGAAAGGAGAAACTTCTATCCAGGCACATGGTCTACCTTCCAAACACCACCTGAGGAAAGAAAAAGATTCTTTAAGCAGGTCTGAAGGTAAGTGTTAAATTAAGGAAAGATAGTTAAGAAACAATAATCCAAGCACAGGTCAGACCCTCAGAAAAATCTCTAAACATGAATTCACAGCAGACCTCAACTGCAGCCGAAGACAAAACTCTCCCAGCCCCAGACCTTCAACCCATCCCCTATCCTAGTGTGGTGGTTCAGAGCACAGACTACTTGGGTTCAAATCCCACTTCTACTACTTACTAGCCATGTGACCCAGGGTAAGTTTCTTCTCTTTGTGTCTCAGTTTCCCCATATGTAAAAGGGGCTGTTATAAAGAGTGAATAAGTAAATATTTGTAAGGCTCTTACAACACTGCCTGGCACATAGCAAATGTATGTGTTAAGTACTATGCCACGAACTGCAGTGGCCAACAAGCTTTACCTCAAAATGTTTCGGACTGTCCCAGCAGACTGCCAAATCCCTAAATATCAGGCCGGTTGGAAGCATGCGCAGTAGAGAGAGGGTCAAGATAAGCGAAGCCCACTCACCACCCCACACAGCTCATCCTCCAGCGCTCAAGGGGCCTGCTGAAGCTGAGGAAGCACAGGGTCAGGGAGTGGGAATATATACAGGAGGCAGAGGTAGGCAACCTGGGCGAAAGCCGTAGGCTGAGGAAAGGCAGGGAAGGGGCAAGCACTGAGCAGGTGATAAGAATCACAGAAGAAATGGGAAAAGCTGGCAGAACCCACCTTTAAAATTAGGTGGTTCTCAACTGTAGCTGATCATTAGAATTACCTTGGGAACTTTGGAAACTACCAGTGCTTGGCCACAACCCCTGGTGATTCAGATTTAACTGGCCAAGACTGAAAAATACTGATTAATAGTCCATCAGGTACATGTACCTACAAATGCTAGAATAAAAAGGCTTATCCCCTGAATTTCTAATTCTGTCCATTCTCATGCTAATCCTCCATCTCCTCACTTTACTTCATTTTGGTCTTAACTCTGACAGACCGGCATTTAATTAGGATTCTAAACAGAAACACAGACTGTATTTAATGTAAAAATTTAGAAGGAAAGGGAAGGCTCCCCACCCCCAGCTTCTAGCCACACTGCCCTTTCCATCCCATTTCCATGACCCATTATCCCAATTCTACAGAAGGGAAATAGAGAAAACTGTTTTTTTCCTGAAGTTTTTCCTTTTCTCATTTTGGACCTTCATATTTCAAAACAAACTAAAAAGCAGACACTGTGCCGTCCAAGTGAGGACAAAAGTCAGAGGCTAGGGGGTGGGGAAGGGAGGGCAGAGGTCTGATGTCCAACAGTAAATAAGTTCTGAGGCACTTCAGTATGTGTACCTGGTTATTTATTCTAGGTTAACCTTGGTTCATCCAGCCACTGGGTTCTATCCAGCTATGCAGACAGTCTCCCATGTGCAGCAACAGTTTGGCAGCAGAGAGGGGCTGAGAAACTTGACCATCAGGTTCACTGTCAGATGCTGACTGCTTCTCCCAGGTCACCCGATCCACATACTTATGCAGGGGTGGATTATCCAATAGACAAGGCAAGCACGGTGCTTACGTTGCTTACCAGATCATCTGTATTGAACAATATCATTTTTTCACCATATCAAAGAGTCTGCTTCTAGGTATGGCTAGCATCTGTCTCTCTCCCAACCCTGCAGCACCTTTCCACAGAATGAAAGTCTCTTTTCAAATTTACAATCCCTGACAGGGGCAGATGACCCAGTTAGCAAGGTAAGCACGGGCCTACTTATGCTTACTTACTAATCTGTAGTGAACAATTTCACACGGGTTTCACCACATCAAACCCATGTGAAATTGTTCACTACAATAAGCACAGTGCTCGCTTGTTAGATAATCCACCCCTGTACTCATGCTTGTATTTACACGAGCTTTACAGTTTATAAAACACAGTTCCTACTTCACAGGGAATTTACCAGTGAGTAGCAGAGCCAGGACTAGCGCTGCCTCCAAAGACCAAGCTGCCCTTCCACTCAGGAACTCTGAACCAGGAGGTCAGATTCCACATTTCACAACACTCTCGTCTTCCCGAGGTGCTACTGTATACGGCACAAATTTTCCTTCAGTTTGATATTGAGACATTTACCATACCCTTGCCATAATTATGACACACCTTAGGATGTTGTAAGACCAAGATAGAAAACACTGTTCTAAATTATAGGTTCTTCTACACCAGCAAGATTAAGAAATGTTAGAGCTGAAGAAACTCTGGAAAATCATTCAGTATAACCTACTTACTCTACAACCAAGGAAACTGAGACCCAGAGGGGTGAAGTGATCAAATGAGACAAAGTATAAAAACTGAGAAGAATTGTTATTGCTCTGAAAGATTACTATTGTTATTCCTGGCAAGGTCACACAGGCACTGCCTCAGCCTTCTCATCAGAGGGGCTGAAGTCCCCTTCTTACAGTTACCCAATTCAAATCTCTCAATCAAATACCAGGTATAAGGCATATTTAACCATCAGACCAGTGATTCTCAACCCTAGGTGCATATTAGAAACACCTGGGGAGCTTTTAAAAAACACTGATGCCAGCCCCATCTCAGACCAATTAAATCAGAATCTCTAGGAGTGAGGCCCATACATTTTTTAAAAATGTCCCAGGTGACTGATGTAGTCTAGGCTTGAGAACCACTATCTTGGGCCAAGGTGTGATCCAGGGCCCAATGGCCTCAAAATTCACCCAAAAAGATGGTTAAAAATGTAGACTTCTGGATCCCACCCTGAGACTCTGACTCAGTAGGTGTGGAGTGGGCCCCAGGAACTTGAAGCTGTAACAGTTCCCAGGGGAGGCTCGTGCACAGGAAAGTTAGAGAACAACAGCATGAAGTGAGCCTTGGAAGTCACACCCGTGTTTCAGCTGACCCTGGAGTCCTGGAGGCCCAAGCCTCCCAGGTGATTCAGACTCGATACCCACTCTTAGCTAAGAGTCACTCAAAGTCCCACTCTTTCTACCACCAGGAGACTGGGCAACGCTTCCAGAATGAATGTGGATCCCATCGCACCTCTGCACAGTTGCCAAGAGCTTCCCATCCCATTCAGAGCTAAAGCTCGAGTCCCAACCAGGACTTACAAGGCGTTGAAGATCTGTATCAACTCCTCTCCCTTACCTCTCTGACCTCACCTGCTGCTTTCCCTCCCTCAGTCCTGCTCAGACACACTGACTTCCTCCCTCAATCCTGCTCAGACATAGGGACTCCCTTCCCTCACTCCTGCTCAGACACACCAACTTCCTCCCTCGATCCTGCTCAGACACACTGACCTCCTCCCTCAGTCCTGCTGGGACACACTGACTTCCTCCCTCATTCCTGCTCAACACACGGACTTCCTGGCTGTTCCTCAAGCTCACTCTGACCTCAGGGCTTTAGTACCCTTCTCTCTACCCTGATGGCTCTCATCTCCTTCAGATCTCTGCTCAAGTGTCTTATCAGTGCAACTTCTCTGACCTCTCTATTTAAAACAAAAAATCCGCCTCCCCACCAAATCTCCCTACCCTTCAGCCCTGCTTTATTTTTCTCCCTAATACTTTTCAACAGTTCTCATTCTTTACATTTTTACTTGCTTGTTGTCTATCAAAGGAGCCCCAGTAGCACAATGGTTAAGCACTCAGCTGTTAACAGAAAGGTCGGAGGTTTGAACCCACCGGTAGCCCCGCAGGAGAAAAAACCTGACAATCTGCTTCTGTAAAGATTTACAGCCTAGGAAACCCTATCGGGCAGTTCTACCCTGTCCTATAGGGTCACTATGAGTTGAAATCAACTCAACAACACACAACAACAACACTGTCTACAAGACCACACACTAGAATATGGTTCCGTGAGGTAAGATCTGTGTTTATTTTGTTCCCTGCTATATTCCCAGTGCTTAGAAGCGTGTCTGGCACATAGCAGGCACTCCAATACTTATTCTAGGAATTAATGACTAAATCAGAAATGCCAGTCTCAAAAGATGGCTCTACTAGAACATCCGAAAGAAGAAGCTGATTATAATAAAATCACTTCTCTGCTGACCTCATCTTGGCAAAAACCTTTTTGAAAGCAGGCTAGAAGCCTAATGAAACATAACCATTTAGAAATAAGTATTTCCAGTCAATTAATCCATCCCAAATGGGTTTGTGAGTCAAAGAAAATTTGTTCTGAGAAACTGATAAAACTATGGAGACAGAAAATGGAGTTGAAAGAAGGTGATCACACAAATGTATTTCAGATACCATCCTGGTGTATGTGTAGATCCAGGCCCGACAGAACTGGCAGCTATACCTGGACAGGGCACCGTTTTCAGCTCACCAGAAAGAACAGACAGGCCTGGAGTTAGGTCTGTGGGATGCAGCCCAGTGCAAGATATTACCCACCTGCTTTCTACCACACCCATCAACCTGATAAACATCATCAACAACATGAGGAGGACCCTTCCTTTCCTCATCTCCTAATGACACCCTACCTGCTTCCAAAAATCAACTGAAGCCACTGACAACACTTTAAACTCTACCAAATAGGGAGCTGCACAGCAGGTGGGGAGCATCTTGCCATTACCAAGTCTCACTCATTTCACCAGTTCCGTCCCATGATGGCAGAAGTCCCGGTGGCGCAGTGGTTAAAGTGCTTGGCTGCTAACTGAAAGGTTGCTGGTTCAAGCCACAAGCCGCTCCTCGGGGGAAAGATGTGGCAGTCTGCTTCCGTAAAGATTTACAGCCTTGGAAACCTTATGGGGTAGTTCTACTCTGTCCTATAGGGTTGCTATGAGTCAGGATTGACTCGACAGCAACGGGTTTGGTTTGGGTTTGTTTTGCCCCATGTCTGCCGACCCCTATCCCGCTCACCTCTTTCCTCACCACCTTGGTCTCTCCCTGCACAGTCATCCTGCATGTCCCTCCAAGGCCAATCTTCCCAAAGCACCACTTTCATCAGTTATTCTCTGACTGATCGAAACTTAAAGTCATTTCCTATACCCTACCACAACCGGGTCAACCCCTGTGCCAGGTGTTCGAGAACCTCCATGATCCAGGCCTAGATCTAGGTCTATTAATTTTATATTTCAGCTCCAAAGCACCAAATCACTGCCTTCCACCTCAACACTACCACCAGTTAAGAGATGAGACTGTAGAGACTGATACACAGTAGACTTCCACCCTCCCTGCAACCAGCAGCCTCCATTCCTGCCAAGAGCATCCTCACTATCCTCCACACCAGGAACACTCAGTCTCTCCCCCCCCCCACCAGCTTCTAGCCACATTGCCTTTTCCACCTCATTTCCACAACACATATGTGATACACTCGCACATACACTCATGCATTCGGTAAACATTAATCAAACACCTACTGTGCATCAGGCCTTGTTCTAGTCACAGTGGATGCCACGGTGAACAGAACAAAGTCCCTGCCCAGATGGAGCTGGCATTCCAATGGAAGGAGACAGACAGACAAACAAGCAAATCCATAATATGTCAGCCTTTCTCAACGGGGATTCCTCGTCTGAAATCAGAGATTTTAATGACTATATTCTCAATTTTTAAGCAAGTGAGGGAGCAAGCCATGTGAATACGAGGAAGAAGAGGTTCCAGGTAGGGGGAAGAACAAGTGGAAAGGCCTTGA